TAATTTCTTATAATGAGTGCCCATTCTGTGAGCTGGCGTTCCCTCTGATTTCCCCCCCTCCAATTAATCATTCCCTGGAACCTACTGTTTTTGATTAAGCAGCAGGCAGTTTGAGAAGATAAACATATGCTGGGCGAGGAAACCTTCTGCTGCACAATGAAACCACCCTATATATATCAGGCAAAGAGCAGCTTTATTTTAATCATCATGTCTACAGGGTTTTCTCTGTAAATGCCAGACTTTCAGAATAAGAACGTATACCGCCAACGTGCACCTGACAAGTTGCACTATTTCTGTTCCTTCCTGACCAGTTGTCCAAAAGGCCATTGCTGAATTCAGGCGTTTTTATTGCTTTATGAAGCATATCATCCCACTTTGGTGCATGAATGTACAATAATACGCTCCTAAAAGTGACCCTGTTGACTCTTTTTAATGCATGGCTCCTGGCTTAGTACATGATTCATCCGTGATATATAAATCACTTTTAATTATGAAATACATGGAGTTTAAGATAAAATCTGATTGTACATGCAGTTTAAAACATTTAAAACATTTGTGTTACACACCATTTATAAAATTAGTGTATTTTATTGATTCATTTATACACTGCTGTTTGTAGTCAATCTCTTATGCTCACTGAGGCTGCATTTATTTGATCAAGAATAAAGTAGAAACAGTAATATTGTGAAATATTATTACAATTTAAAATAACTGTTTTCAATTTGAGTGTACATATTCATTAATCCAGTCTTCAGTGTCACATGATCCTTCAGAACTCATTCCAATACGCTGATTTGTCACATTCAGTTGTATCAGTTTCATTTTCTTGGACTTTTAATTTGTTTTTCATTGGGCAAATTCCAATCGTAAGTGAGTATCCCTGTTCCCTACTCACTCCGTAGGACAGAGTCTTGGAAGTGGGGACTTTGGGTATTTGTGTGTCATAATGAAGCCATTTGGAACGCACTTGGCGAAGGGAGCAATGAAAGACCTTATAAGCTTCACATGGAATATTACCACGACAAAGCTAGGCAGTGACAACAGGAATATCTTATTCTTGCTGTTAATATGATACAAATAAACGTACATATATAATTACGTTTTTAAAATACGCTATGTTCCCGGTCTGTTATTAACTTAAGCTAAGCATTAAACACATAAAGCATTAAACACATTTCTTATCTTTTAAATTTTATTGAACTTAATATGAATTGCATGAGGAAAATGTGTGTAATATATCAAAACAAAACAACTTTTTTTCAGTTATTCTGTTTATACGTTAATTTTAACTCTCCCGCCATATCTGGATTTAAAATGAATCATGAGGACTTGTCACCCTGGGTCACATGACCATAAACGATTAAATTACTTCCCATTGGATGATCCCTTCGCTATAACGGTCTTGTGGAATGGCCCTTCTTGAAGGGACTCAGTTGTTCACTTTCATTTGGAACACCCCTATAAATGGCGTTGCCCATTATTTCCTGTGTTTCCTTGGTTGTCTTGGTTACAAAGTATGTTTACATTGGTTGTCATGGTTACTCATTGTTTCATTTATTTCACACACCTGATCCTTGTTTTGTTCATTGAATTCACTCTGTATTGCTCTCAGTTGAGGTTGCTCATTGTCTGGTGTTGGTTGTGCTCTAACACTGTTTAGTTCACTCTTGTTTAGATAGCTCTCTTTTGTTTAGTTTAATTACTGCTGCATTTGGATCCAGAAAAAAACGTTTCTTATTATTATCAATGTTGAAAACAGTTATGCTTTTTTATGCAGTTTGTCAGGATCCTTTGATGAAAGTTCAAAAGAACAGCATTTTTTAAAATAGATTATTTTTGTAACATTATGAACGCATTTACAGTCACTTTTAATCTAGCCTATTTGTTGCATCATTAGTGACATCTAAAAAAAAAAAAATGAACACGGCCCATGTTTTGTTACCCCCAAGTCACAGCAGCACCCAATGGACAAAGAGTTTGTTTTTGAAATACAAAACAATCAATGTATGATTTAATAATAATGTTCTACATGAAGCAGCATCAGTCTGCACTTACTGAGCACTGGTTTATGAATTCACTGAGAACAGAATGAGTCATTTGTGTAAGTGCACTCTATGATTTTCTCCAATTTCTACCTCTTTCATCATCTGAAAAGGACAAAATAAGGCACAATAATACTTGTTCCTTTAGTCGTTGTGAACTGCTCTGGCAAACGTGTACATCCTGTTTTTGTTCTTTACTGCTGCATCTGAATTACTGCTGTATTGATTACACACAGAAGGAATCATCTGCATTACATTACATTCTCATAGTAATTATAACCTCTAATTTTCCCTCAGTTCAGGTGTGGGAGTGTTTGCTTTCCACCTTCTTCTCCAACTCAGAGCTTAGAGGCATGAGTATTCTGAATATATTTTATAGAAGCACAATCAAAATGTATATATTCATTTCTAATGACTGAAATGCCATAAGCCAAAATTGTATTCGGCTGAACTTATTCTCCAAAATGAAAATCTCTCATTATTTACTCACTTGCTCTCATGTTTATTTCCATAGAACAAAAAGATATTTTGAAGAATCATTACACACACAAAAAAACACACCATAAAAGTGCCATAAAAAGTGCCGGTAATTCTTTTCATTAAGTTTGATTTGAAGCAAATTGAAGTTGGCATTTATTAATCGTTAATGTTAATGTCAATAATACATTTTAAGATTAAAAAGTTGTATCTATTAAAATTAGTTAATGCACTGTGAACTAATATGAACATTTAAAACAGTTAATAAATGCTGTAAGAATATACTGTTTATTGTTAGTACATTTTTAGTTGTAAAGTTTTACCAAAGTGTCAATATGACTATTATATAGAAAAAATCTCCTTTTGTGTTACATGGGAAACAGAATATCATGCAAGTTTGGAATGACTGAAGCTGAATAAATAATTACTAATTTATTTTAGAAGAACTATTCTTTTAAAAGTGAAGGAAAATACAGTAAAAACAGTAATGCTGTGAAATATTATAACAATTTTAAATAACTGTTTTCTATTCTTATAATATAAATGTATTCCTGGGATGGCAAAGCTGAATTTCAACAGCCAGTGTGTAATTTCTCATTCCCTTATAATAACAAATCAACAAAAATAACCTCAAAAAAAAAAAAAGACCCAATACTTAAATTCCCAAACACTCTGCTAGTCTTTTCTTTTTTTTTTTCTTCTTTTTTTATAAGAATACATTATCATCTATAATTGATTTTAAATAAATACATAAGATTGTTGGGAGGATGCATTTTCTTGCCATAATCAACAAAGAAATAACAAAATGAAATGTAGAATTTCAGGACAAGTATGTCCCAGACATGTTCACTGCATAGTCAACGCATAGACATATGGAGAAGAGAGAGGGAGAGGAGAAAGTGTCACAGGGACTATAGAGAGTCATTGACAGACCATATGACAGACTGCTCATTATGCCCATCTTAATTCACATGCTGTTTGTCAATAAAGAGCACCAGGGCAAGTCTCAACGCTTCTGCAGCTTACGATGTTAAAAGCCGTTTCTAACCAATTTTATTCAAATGCAAATTAGAGTAGAGCAAATACTTCTTTTAGCCAAAATCAACCATATTTTGTCCAGTATATCACTGATCAATAATAATGTTCAAGCGGTTTAAATTGGGGGATATTATGGATATTCTGATTGAAGTTTGGACATGTGAGCTAATGAAGCAAGATTGATTAGTCCTCCATGATGAGCAGATCCCATATAAAAGACTGTACTGGGAGATATAGGCCTACAGCTAAAGCAGGGGTGTCCAAACTCGGTCCTGGAGGGCCACTGTCCTGCAGAGTTCGGCTCCAACCCCAATTAAACACACGTGAAGCAGCTAATCAAGGTCTTATGCTAGACACTTTCAGGTATGTGTGTTGAGGCAGATTGGAGATAAATTCTGCAGGACAGAGTTTGGACACCCCTGAGCTAAAGCATTTCAGGAACATGATACAATTATGAAATCAAGAATGGATCAGGCACAGAAGATTATTTTAAAGCAAATGTTAACCCAAACGGCAACTTCTGTCATTATTTACTCACCCTTATCTCATACCTCATGCTGTAGTTTTTTCTGTGGCACACAGATTTCAAAACACCAACAAGGACAATAAAAACACCATAAATGTACCATACAAGAAGTCCATGTAATAACTTTGTGTAAGGAACAGACAGAAATGTAACTTATTACTGATAATTGTTTACCGTCAAAATTCTGAAATTTATTTCGAGTTGCAAGATTAAAGTCAAAATGGACAATATTTTTTTTTTATTGAATATTGCAGTGTTTATTGTGAATGATTTATCCGGACACATAATTTTTTAGTGAAAAATCACGCGTCATAATCTATATCAAAACAACTTCTCCCTCTCGCAGCTACATCATTTCTCTTCTCTGACACGTTTACTGGTGCGAGGGCGAGACCTGTCACTCACATGAGATCCACCAATAGCAAACCACAACGATCCAATCGATTCCAGAAGTCCCGCCCTCCATCTTTTCTTGTTTGAGAAGCCGTTTCACTCTGATATATTCACAATATGGAATATGAAAAAACTATCGCAACTTCTGTTTCATGCCGAATTTAAAAATAAAAAACTGTCCTGATGATTTTTAAACATGCTGTAACCAAGTGTGCCACACACATCATGAAAAGTGAAGCCAAAACATTTTGATCGCCCCCTGGTGGTTGGCTGCAGTATAAGTCATTAGCCATACCCTCTCCATGTAATCGAACGGGACACAAGCCAAATCTAATTACTCTTCAAATGTTTTTTTTTCCAAAGATGGTTTTATGCATTTTAGTGAAAGGCTGACATATGTTCAAGTGTTTATTTTTTCTAGCAAGTTTGGTTTTAGTTAGTTATTTGATGCTATAAAAAACGTGGTGTAACTTCATGATTGACAGCTTGCAATTCAGGATCCCTAGACAATTTTTTTGTATAAACATCTGAACATGCAACATATCAAAAGAAAGAACAGAGCCTTTCTTTTATAAAAAAAAAAGAGCAAAATTTTGAACAAAAAGCTGAGAAAATCGTGTTTAAAAAAAAGAGACTTCAACGTGCATAAGCAGTGCTTTTATCGCTTGTTTCTGCTCCTATTTGTCTGTGTTTTGATTTGGAGATTCGGTACTCTTTCAGAAGATGCATAATAGCGTACTCTACTGTATAACTAAAAAAACAAAGAAAACCGGGAAATTCTGTCAATGGCAGGGAAGCATTGTCAATTTCATCAACGGTGGGGAAAGAGTTAATGTCAGGACAGACTGCATATTTAGCCTTTTGGTATACTCTTAAAAAGCTTTTTAAACAAGTGTTTTTGTAGCGACACCATAAGAATCATTTTTGGTTCCCCAAGAACCTTTAAAGAAGCATTTTTTTAATCAAATCAAAGCACCTTTTTCCTCTATAAAGAACCTATATTGGAATTGAAAGGTCCCATGGATGTTAAAAGGTTCTTCATGGAACCATCGATGCCAATAAAGGACCACTATTTTTAAGAATGTCAGAGTTTGGTCAATCTTCTATTGATAAAGATACTTTGAAGCTTTTCTGAAAAGAGTCTCCATGCAAACATTATATGATTTGAACATATGGATTGCGTTCAAAGAGATTTAATGCGTTTCATCCAGCAACAGGATCCATATTGTTAGGAATCCTTTGGATTCAAATCAACAGCCCTGAAATCATGCTCGGAGTGGTCCAGTTCATTACTCGTCTTCATAGAGGACTTCATCAATAAGAATATCATGTTCACCCACTGGGACTTCAGCACACAGCTGCTCTTTGAAAGCCAAGGCAATGGTGTACGGCTTTCCCTTAGGGTGCGTCCTACAGCGCTCCAAATACGTGTCATAGAAACCCTTTCCTCTGCCAAGCCGATTCCCGTTCTTATCAAATCCCAAACCAGGCATGAGGATAAGATCTAGTCCTCCTGTAACAAAATTAGAAAGGAAAGAGTAATTAAATAAGATTATGTGGATTATGCAGATTTGTTTTTGGAGCTCAAATGACACCATTACAGCACAATACAGTGAAGTTTAAGTTCTTAAGAACCAAAAACATGCAGGGAAGCCAAACATTCACTAAGTAGAAATGTAGACAGTACAGACTAACATCTGTGTGCTTACAGACAGGAGTTTGAAAGATACATGTGATTTATAGAATAACTTCTTTTCATCTACATTCTTGATTTGATTTGCAAACATTCTGGTTATTTGTATGCATCATGCATGTTTCCTAATTGACAGATATAATAACCAATGCATGTCTATTTCTGACTTAGCTACTTGATAGTTGCAGATGCAATTACAGCTAATTAGTGGATAATTATGTTATTATAGAATAATGTAGCAATAAAAACACTGCGAAATATGTATAAACTTTCATTTTTGATTTGACCTTTGACCTCTTGATTTGAACCTCTCGAGGAAGAAAGTAGCTTGTTTTGCAGTCTATGCATAGCCAAAAAACATTCTACTTTTCAAACTCACACAATGAGCCTCATGAAATGTGATTCAATTTCTGTTAACTGTTTTAAAACCCATTTGTATGTAAAAAGTTCAGTGCAAAGGTTTGCTTGCGTATAGATTTAAGATATACACTATACAATTTAATTTCACAATTTGGGCCACCACAAGAACCATGAGTAGAACAAATGTATAGGTCAACTGTTTGTAAACCAATTTGTTGCAAATGAAACGCAAGTGGAACCAGTTTCTATGCATATCATTCATACATCCATTAGTACATAAACTGTCTCTGAACTGCATTCACCAATTTATGTACAAAAGAATTTACTTTCTGCTTGTGTAGAGAAGCAAACAAACACTACATATTAAATTCACACAACCATAAAACACAAGCAGAGCGAATTCCTGCATTAACTGTTTGTGAACCCATATGTGCAGAAGTGTTGCATAAATGTTGCATTCATTTCAGTACAAATAGATTTGTGTTCTGCTGCTGTAGCCACAAGAACTCTAGATTTCTAATGAGCACAATGGGCCTCATTCATGAATAATCAATGATTTTCTGCATTTTTGTAAATGCATCTGTGTAAATTGTACTTGATTTAAGTACAAACGGATTTACGTTCTGTCTACATTCATGAATAAGGCCCATTGGATATAAAGGCCTTACAAATTTGCCAATTTTGAAGATAAAACAAATGACAGTGGCCAGACAGTCTGATATATTGGTTTACATGAAATATGTTACGAGTCTGAATTTCAAACACAAGCAAAACCATTAAATATTAATATCAATGATCTCACACTTGCAGCCTGTTCCTGCACCTCGTTCCATATTTCACTCTCGGCTCTGTTCTAATAAGACTGTCTTCAACATTCATTAATAATGTATCTACGCAGAATTATTACATACACATTACTCAACTTGATACGATTGTGTTGACAAATCGCAAACAGTCGCTTTAAATAAAAAGTGTTATTAATGAGCCTGAACCAATTAGACAATCTCCAATATTAACAAGACAAGGTACAAGCCATCACAGATCCTATTCTTTTATCAGTTCTGCAAAACATGTTTCTCAGGCCTGCAGGCTTCATCTCAGAGTAACACCTAGGACTGTCCAATACCTCCACATCAAGCCCCGTTTTGTCGCCAAATTGCTCAAGGTTTCAATCTGAAAGTGCATCAGTTCTTTGCAGGATTTCAAAAATTGTTCTGTCTTTTTATCTCTTCATCTCATCTATTTAAGTGCCGATCCCAGTTCGCGATCCTCTGGTGTAAAAGGTGAAGTAGAAAGGATCTGAAGAAACAGGAGTTTGGCCATGGGGATTCCACAGCTTTTTTTTTTTAATTTACATTCATTTTTTTTTTTTTAAATCTATTTATTATTACAGGGACAGTGCATATTAATTAACATTGTTGCCAATATGCCAGAATTAGCCAGAAGGCTATTTTTCATCTGCAGTCCCCGGACAGATGTTAAAAGTCACCCTAAAAGAGAATAAAAATTACATTAAAAAAAAGAAAAAAAAAAGTACAATACATTGTATTATGTAAAAAAAATAAAATACAATCGAATTACAGCAAACCAGCAATCAAACAAACTTCTGACAAAGACATAACATATACACACACACACAAGGCAAGAAGCCTAGAGAAATGTGTTCATGTTGACAGCTCTGAAATTCAAGAAGCCATTTCTTTAAATGGCTCTTAAATGTACAATAGGTTTTTAGATTTGATGAAGAGCACGCTTTTATGATTGCTTTCATTTTTTTCCCAATGATAAACCTTTAGTCATATTGTGCTGCTAAAATGAGAAAAGAGATAAATTGAGAATATTCTGCTGCTCTTATATATATATATACATTATTACATAACATCAACCCTCACTGATGGCATCACCTTGCGGAAGACCGGGAAGCTTTGGCACTCTGTCCTGCCATGCTTACACCAGCTTTTGCACATAAAGACGGCATGTCAGACACCGTTCAGATCGGCGCTTGCGCTGCAAAAGGCCTTGATGATGATATACACTACCAATCAAAAGTTTAAAATAATTAGAATAATTAAGATCTCAGACTCACCAAGGCTGCATATATTTGATCAAAAATACAGTAAAAACAGTGAACAGTAAAATGAATAATGGTTCTTCTTATTATCAATATTGAAAACATTTGTCCTGGTTAATATTTTTTTTTTAAACTGTGATGCTTTATTGATCATTTGATGAATAAAGTTCAATGAACCGCATTTATCTGAAATAGAATTCCTTTTGCAACATGCCTTTACTGTCAATTTACAGCAAACTTGATTATTTAAAAGTATTGATTTGTTATTTTTTTTTACTTTTTTCTACTTACCACTTACTTTTGAATGGTAGTGTATCACGATTTCCACAAAAATATTAAGCAGCAATAAATTACAATATGTAATAAATTACATTTTAATTATTCAAACAAAAAAAATCATTTGTATTAATATTTCACAATATTACAACAACAAAAAATTTGTGAAGAATGTTCAAAATTACCCTAAAAATGTTAACGGTGGTGTATTACAAATGTTAAATAACATTATATAAGTAATACACAAATGGTAACTTACAACTAAAATTAAACTATAAAATTATACATTCAAACCTAAAGGATATAATATTGATAGCAGTATTATATCATTAGACTTTGAAAAATGCATCTATGAGATGGTTTTACAACTGCAAACGGAAATGTGAGAGTCATTTTTACCAGACAGCACAGGTCATTAAGTCCAAATGTTTGTTGGAATCTCATAAAAACTTGTTGATTTACAAGCGGCACCGTTTGACCTTAAGGGAAGACAGTGAGGTATGGAGTGTTATTGCGGGATTAAATGCTATCGGAGCACCTCAATCAGACACACCAACAGATAGGCAATGAAGTGCACTTCGGTGGATTCAAACCATTCAGTCTTGTTAGCACTTAGTGTCACAGTGATCTACTACCAATACAAGCGTGCAAAGATTGGTCAGTTTACACACACAGATTCAATGCTTGTCCCTCCTTCAAACACACACACCTGACATTTTCATCTAGTCTCAGCTCTCTTTCATTTCTTTTTGTTGGCAACATTTAAAGTCAATGTCAATTTAATCATAATATTAACCTCAGGGAATTCCATTTTCTTTTCAAAATTCCATACTTTTCCAGAATCAAATATCCAAACCTATCTGTAGATCTTTCAGACCATATTTAACATGGTTCATACAGCATTATTTTCAGCATTATACACTCACCGGCCACTTTATTAGGTACCCCATGCTAGTAACGGGTTGGACCCCCTTTTGCCTTCAGAACTGCCTCAATTCTTCGTGGCATAGATTCAACAAGGTGCTGGAAGCATTCCTCAGGGAGTTTGGTCCATATTGACATGATGGCATCACACAGTTGCCGCAGATTTGTCGGCTGCACATCCATGATGCGAATCTCCCGTTCCACCACATCCCAAAGATGCTCTATTGGGTTGAGATCTGGTGACTGTGGAGGCCATTTTAGTACAGTGAACTCATTGTCATGTTCAAGAAACCAATTTGAAATGATTAGAGCTTTGTGACATGGTGGAAGTAGCCATCAGAGGATGGGTACATGGTGGCCATAAAGGGATGGACATGGTCAGAAACAATGCTCAGGTAGGCCGTGGCATTTAAACGATGCCCAATTGGCACTAAGGGGCCTAAAGTGTGCCAGGAAAACATCCCCCACACCATTACACCACCACCACCAGCCTGCACAGTGGTAACAAGGCATGATGGTTCCATGTTCTCATTCTGTTTACGCCAAATTCTGACTCTAACATCTGAATGTCTCAACAGAAATCGAGACTCATCAGACCAGGCAACATTTTTCCAGTCTTCAACTGTTCAATTTTGGTGAGCTCTTGCAAATTGTAGCCTCTTTTTCCTATTTGTAGTGGAGATGAGTGGTACCCGGTGGAGTCTTCTGCTGTTGTAGCCCATCCGCCACAAGGTTGTGCGTGTTGTGGCTTCACAAATGCTTTGCTGCATACCTCGGTTGTAACGAGTGGTTATTTCAGTCACTGTTGCCCTTCTATCAGCTCGAACCAGTCTGGCCATTCTCCTCTGACCTCTGGCATCAACAAGGCATTTCCGCCCACAGAACTGCCGCTCACTGGATGTTTTTTCTTTTTCGGACCATTCTCTGTAAACCCTAGAGATGGTTGTGCGTGAAAATCCCAGTAGATTAGCAGTTTCTGAAATACTCAGACCAGCCCTTCTGGCACCAACAATCATGCCACGTTCAAAGTCACTCAAATCAACTTTCTTCCCCATACTGATGCTCGGTTTGAACTGCAGGAGATTGTCTTGACCATGTCTACATGCCTAAATGCACTGAGTTGCCGCCATGTGATTGGCTGCTTAGAAATTAAGTGTTAACGAGCAGTTGGACAGGTGTACCTAATAAAGTGGCTGGTGAGTGTATTTGGTATAGAGTATGGTCATCTGTAATATTTTTATTTTCTCTTTTTTTTCCCCATTGGTTTTCCCGAAGTGAAAACATGCGCTTACATGATGAGACAAAACCTAAAATGCTTTATAACCTGCAAAGACAAATTTATTTTTAGTAATTCTTAATTTTATATTTTAGAAAACTGAATAGTCTTGAAACACAAATATTTTCCCATACTTATCCAGACCTGGAAATTACTCAAATCAAATTCCAGACTTTTCCAAACTGTAACCTAATTTTTTTTTAAAATCTAAATAGCTATTATATAGTTAATATTATATAAAGGAAAGTGATTTCAGAGGTTTGATTAAAATAGAAACATTTTCTTAACGTGCACTGATGAATTATCCACAATAAAGGTCCTTTGAATCACATCAACAACAATAAATATAAAGATAACCTTTGCGATAACTATATTAGCGTCCACACCAGCGGACAATATCATTCTGTTTATTATAAGCACTCACTGCAGTTTTGTCGTTTGCCACTTTAAATGCTCAAGCGCTTAAAGCAGTTTGAATTCTGATTGGCTGTCAATGTTTTTATCGTTTATCAACTGGGAAAACATTTTTCTCAAACTGATTCCAACGATATTGTTATCGATATTGTGTCGTTATCATTATAGTTGTGGTGTGGACTCTGCCATTCTTTTATATTTAGAAAGATTTTAAAAAAATATATCTTTATTGTTATCGTCCTTGGTGTAAACGGGCCTAGGAAAACAACTAAGGTCATTTTTTTTTTTTTTTTTTTTCATGTTGACTTTAAAGGCAAGTAGCATTAAAGTCCAAAGGATGTCCCGAGCTCAAGGTCACGGTTTCACTCTGCAGGAACAAAATGCACAAAAACACCCACCTTCCTCTCACACTGGGATAGTTTAGTGCGATTACACCCCTCCTCATGTGCATTTCACATATCAACCCCCATTTCTATTGCTTTCTCCTGAATGGCTGTATTTTTCATCCGCTCCTCTCTCTCTTTAATGCACATATACACAAACACCCCATCAAATGTGTGTCTTAAAACACACATACTTTAATCTCAGAGTCATTACTTACTCAACAGGGGCGAGAGGCTTTGGTCTGCCTCTGCCGTCCTGTAACACCTGCTCAGTTCTGCCTTTCTATTTTCCACCACATAGACACAGTAAGACGGGGTGATTTCTTTCCTATTTGCTTTATAAAACCACCATTTCTGCTAAATGTAAGATTTACTTAAGCTATAATTAGCCTGATGATAAATTACAGAGATAAAGTAAACAGTTCAGTTGTATAGATGAAAAATTAGGACGTAAACATAAACAGTCCTCAGTCACAAACCCCATAAATACTAGCTGTGTGCAGGAAACAGCATGATTTATGAATCATAATTCACTTACAGCAAGTAAATGTGGGGGAATAAATTAAATATGATGGTAAGTTCCTGACTCAGGCACTAAAACACAATATACGACACGAGTCTGACAATAAACAACGTGTCAATTAGCCTACTAAATTACACATTAATGAAGAAATGATACACTCATTAAACCTCCTGGTAATGGTTGAATTTCAACAATTATTTTCTTAATACACATATCTGGTCTTATTGTGCATGATTCATTGGGGCATATTTTAAAAAGGAACAAATACACCATCTCTAACCACCCGATTCCCTTCTGGTATTACCCACTTTTCACCATCAATTTATGAAGCACTCTCTGCATTAATTGAAATATGCAAAAATTATGGAAGTGAAATTTGTTTCTAAGAGCATTTCATGTTTGATATATGACTCTAAATCACACATTAAGAGATAATATATTGGGATTACAGTAAAACTAGGTGCCGCTGTGGTCTTTTAATCTATTTCTAAGCCATAAACTCATAAGGGACTTTAAAAAACATGAATCGAGCAGTTTGGTGTAACTACTACTCAGCATACGTAGCCTACAATTCCTAAACACTGCAATGCAGTAACCCACCTTTTCTATCTTAGTGCAAAAGCTCAACCACAAAATGCAATATTACAGTATCAAACTAAAATAAATATCATAATGTTAATGTTTAGATGCAAAAACTTCTATTATACAAGCATCAAAATCCGATTATACTGTAAGTGAATATGAAGCCAAATGAACCTGTGGGGTGAGAGCACCATCTAATGGTGCAATGCATTTCCTTTTCCACACTTCATAACACTTTCCTCACGTTATAATTATATTATTATATTATATAATTATCAATTAAAACAGCTTTGCGAATATGTGTTGTATTTTGAATTTATTTTATTACAAGTAAATTAAATAAGTTCAACAAGGAGAGGAGCTCGCACACATAACAGTAGAAGATTTCTTACAAACAATACTTTATTTAGAGGCCAAATGTAATGACAAAACGTTTGTGTATTATGTGTGTGAGCTTCTTGCCTCGTGAACTTTGATTTGTTTATTGAGCTTAAGCAAAGTAATTTATCTACCTATTTTTTGAGTATTTGACACGGACCTTCTACGGCCTTTTGGCTGTTTTTAAGTAAATTAAATAACAGATAAATTCAGTCTGATGGGATCATTTCCCCTCACCTCAATACATGTTACAAACTGTGTTTTAGACTAAATTAAATGCAATAAAACAGCTAATATTTCCAACTAAAATATGATGAATTAGGTTGAGAAACAGGAGGTTTGAGAATAGTCAACAACACAATATCTGGAAAAATGTGCAGCATTCGGCTGTTTTGTAAATAAGCATTTTATTTTACCCCAAATTTTTTTTTTTAAATTGTAAGAGGGTAGTATGGAAACTTATTTCTGCCACAGAATAAAAAAAATATAAAAGGTAAGTGTGGCTTTCTATCTCACAGTTCTGACTTTTTTCCTTGCAATTGAGAGTTTATATCTCACAATTTGGATTTCATCTACTGACAATTGTTCGTTTATAACTGAACTTCTGAGAAAAAAAAAAACGTCAAGAATTGTGAGTTTATATCTTGCAATTCTGACTTTATTTCTCGCAGTTCAGTTTATTACTCGCAATTCTGACTTTATAACTCGCAATTCTTATTTTAACACAATTCCGAGTTTATAGCTCGCAATTTTGACATTTTTCTCAGAATTGAGATATAAATTTGCATTAAAAAAAGTTTATATCTCACAATCTACGTTTTTTTCTCGCAATTCAGACTTTATAACCCACAATTGCAAGTTTATATCTCACAATTCCAACTTTATTTCTCGCAATTTGAAGTTAATAACTCGTAATTCTGACTTTTTTTCGCAGAATTGTGAGATAAAAACACTTTTTTTTTCCGTGGCAGAAACAAGCTTCTATAGGGCAGGTCCATTGTCTAAATCTTCTGGTCTAACTCACCTATATCTAGGGCTTCCTCTCTGTCGGTGTCCTCGTCTGCTGGCTGCCGGATGTCCCAGGATGTGAGGGGCAGCGTGTTCATGTCCTCCATGTCTTGAAGTCGTAACATGTCCATATGACTGCTCTTGGTGAAGTATCTGGGAATGAAGCATACTTTCCCCCTCTTGAAGATGTCCTTGATGATCTCCTCTGTGCGCACCTCATCATGCATGTTCAGGAAGACAGCGACACGTTGGCTGGACAGGTATTTGGGATGCCTGAACAACTAGACATGAGTTTGGATGGTAGTTAATAAACACAAACCATATTTACAATAATTTATTTATTTATAACATGCTTAACATAAATGTTTTACTGCTATGATTACAGTAACATAGGCCTTGTTTCTTAGTTGTATTTTGCTCCATATATGAGACTGTATGTAATTGCATAATGTCTCTGTAAGAAAATAGGTTAAAAAATGCCTCAATAAGGGAGTAGTTTCGCAAATCTGATTAGGTTCAGGAGAGTGTCTACATATACAGTACATGATCAGAATTATTAGCACACTTGGTAAATATGAAAATAAATCTTTATTGTTAATCCTTTTGACCCTTTTTCTCCCCAAAACAAACACACAAAAAAAAAATCACAAAAAACAATTCTTTCATTTAAGTAACATAATTAAAAATGTGGGGAAAATCTCTTTATGAAATAATGTTTTTCTCCAATACACATTGACCACAATTACTGGGACCCTTTTATTGAATACTTCTTGCAACCTTTTGCCAAGGTAACAGCTCTGGGTTTTCTCCTATAATACCTGAAGAGATCAGAGACCATTCCTCCATACAGAATCTCTCCAGATCCTTCAGATTCCCAGCTCCATATTGATACTCTCCTCTTCAGTTTTCTGTAGGGTTCAGCTCAAGGGACTGGGATGGTCATGGCAGAAGCTTCATGTTGTGCTCAGTGACCCATTTTTGTGATGATTTTGATGTTTGTTTTGGATCGTTGTCCTGATGGAAGATCCAACCACAGCCCATTATGAGATTTCTAGCAGAAGCCGTCAAATTTAGATTTTCTTTATTGTTGATATTTGAAAGAATCCATGATACCATGTATCTGAACATGATGTCCAGGACTTCCGTCAGAAATAGGCCCACAACATTAAAGATCCAGCATTATGGATCTGAATCAGTATGGATTGAGTACTTTTATCCCTGTTTGCACCAAACCAATCTGGTGGGTTTGCTGGCAAAAAGGTTTTTTTTTTTTTCAGTTTCATCTGACCACAGAACCAGGTCCTGTTTGAAGTTCCAGTGTCTGACTAGATGACTACTGAATATGCTGGGGTTTTTTTTTATGAGAGCAGAGGATTTTTCTTGAAACCCTCCCAAACAACTTGTGGTGATGTAGGTGCTGTTTGATATTCTTTGATGCTTTCTGGCCCCAAGACTATTATAAAGACTATTTTCTGCAATTCTCCATCTGTGATCCCTGAAGAGTCTTTGGCCTGTCAAACTTTCCTCCTCACCGTACATTAAGACAATATAGACACACGTCCTCTTCCATGCAGATTCTTAACATTTCCTGTTGTTTGGAACTTCTTAATTATGGTCCTGATGGTGGAAATTTGGAGTTTTCAATGCTTTAACTATTTTCTTACAGTTACTTTCTGTTTTGTGAAGCTCAACACTCTTTTTCTGCACATCAGAACTATATTCTTTGGTTTGGCCTTTGTTTCCTCATATTTATACTCCTGTGAAACAACGATTTCATGTTCCTAGTCACCCAGGTGGGCTAAAAACTGTAAATAAAAACTGGAAATATACTTTTACTCATATGGGACTTTACTCATAAGAATTTCAAGGGGTACCTATAATTGGTGCCAACGTGTATTAGAAAAAAACATTTATTTCATAATGTGATTTTCTCCCCACAATTATTAGTTTTACTTAAATGAAATGTTAGATTTTTGTGATTTAAAAAAAGATCAAAAGGATAAACAATGCAGATTTATTTTCACAGCATTCATTGATTATATTTACCAAGGGTTCCAATAATTCTGACCATGTATGCGTGTATATATATATATATAGAGAGAGAGAGAGAGAGCTCTGGAAAAAATTAAGAGACCACTGCAAAATTATCAGTTTCTCTGGTTTTACTATTTATAGGTATGTGTTTGAGTAAAATTAACATTTTTGTTTTATTCTATAAACTACTGACAACATTTCTCCCAAATTCCAAATAGAAATATTGTCATTTAGAGCATTTATTTGCAAGTCTATCTGGGATTACATGAAGAAACAGAAAAAACTGAGACAGACTAAGTCCAGAAGAACTGTGGCAACGTCTCCAAGTCGCTTAAAGAAACCTACCTGGATTTATTTAAATATTTTTTTTAATTATTTATTTAAATCGTAGTTTTAAATGTATTTATTTTTTGTTTTTCTCTAAACATTTCCACCAACACCCCCAGCACTCCCTTGTGGCCCCCTGGAGTATGGACCAAAGTTTGAAAACCCCTGCGCTAAAACTGTCCATATACAGGGACATTGTGCAAGAAAAGTAAAGCCTTAAAAAAAAAAAAAAAAAATTAAATAAAAGAACAGGCAGGACACCAGGATGCAAAGAAACTCCTGAGTCATGTGCAGAAATACAGCTTACTTTATCCCTCTGCCAGTAAAGCCAGAATTGACTTTATATCCAAAATCTCAAAAGGAAATTGGTGGTAGTAAAAAAGTCAATAACCTAAAAAAAAAGTTGAGACATAACATATTCAACATTATAAATAATAAAAAGTTAATGTATCTGTGCATTTGCTTTGCTCTAAAATATTTGCAACAACATAACATTTGCATGGTGTATATTAGGTAAAGTTACTAAGTACTAGCGTATATGTAGAGATCCTATGTGCAAAGTACAATCTAACTACTGTCCCGTATATTACCCCTGAAAGCTCGTGTCGCTCAGCTGACACATCGATGACATTTACCTTTTGTGAGACAACTCGAGACTGCCTGAGTTTCTCCTGATCACTCACTGCAGCCACTCGACTCTTGATTTCTCTTCTTAAAGCTTGTTTTGCTGCACGCAAAGCTGCCATAATGAATCTGCACTGCTCAAATCCACTCAGACTGCAAACAGACACATTAAAATACAGATCGTTGTAATCATTGCAGCAGCTCAGTTAATTATTAACTCGTGAGAAAGTGATAACATCAGTGGAGTCTGCACATGTGCGTGTGATCTATTAATGCAGGATAGATTAGTCGGCCTGAAATGGCGTGGCCAGTGTAAAAATGGATTAGCCATCCTGAGTGGGCGGAGTCAGTTTACAGCTCATGCCTTTCGAGGAAAGGTAAACATTCAAGGGAAAAGCCTTAAAGGGACAATTCACCCCCAAATTAAAAGTCTTTTGAAAACCCACCCTGTTGTTACAAATTTGATTTACTTTAATTTATTCCGTGGGAAACACAATAGGATTTTTGCCAGACTTTTAAGGGCAGAGAGCCTGAGTTGCCCTCTTTTATTTCGTCCTTTTTGGCATACAATGAAAGTGAATGAGCACAGACCATTTGCCTAACCTTTGGTGGCCTATGGTATTTATTTATCCTTTATTTTACCAGGAAGGTCCCACTGAGATAAAAAAAAAAAAAAAATCTCATCTTCTATGAAGTCCTGGCCAGGATGACTGTACCAAAGTTTCACATAAACACACAACACAAAATACACATTAAAATAATAAAGTATATGTTTGTAACAACATGAGGTGACAGTGAGTACATGATGAGAGAATATTATAATTATTTTATATTGTAATTCAGACTAATGGTATGATTCATATCATAATCATAATACAAAGCAATTTTGAGGTTTATGTTTAATAAGTAATTTAAAATTTTACCTGGTAATATATATATATATATATATATATATATATATATATATATACTTAAAGATTTTTAGTGCCAGGTGAATTTAATATAAAGTAAACTAATAATAATATTACTAATAAGATTTTCACATGAAGGTTACATGCATGTTTGGATATCATACTTGGTTTTGTTCTAAAAGTAACTTTAAAAGAATAACAATACAATAACATTCTGGACTAAAAGTATAAAAAAAAACAAAAAGAGTCCAAATATGTTTTTATATAAACGAACAGTCCCAAAGAGATACATAGTACTCATTTGGAGTGTCACAAAAGGTGCCTCTATACCTTAAAAAAAAACATTTTTTAAACATGTAAAACGTTGATATGTCACATGGGACAGTCTATACTGAAAACTATAAAGTCCCATCATGACGTCACTGGGTAGGTTAAAGTGGGGGCTGGAGTGTCAAAACTAACAAACAGGCTGTTTCTCGGTGGGGGAAGGGAAGCTGGTGAACGCCGAAAACACTTCGCAAACATTTTAATAGTGCAAGACAATAAACCAAACTCGTCTAACCCAGCGACATTGATATAGTAACCGTCAGGAGTCGGGAGGTGAGTGTAAATGCGAATGTTAATCAATTGAATCAGTGAAACAGCTGCGGCGTTTTGTGATCTGTTAGCCAACTTGACAAGAGCAAACCTGTTGTTGTATAATATGGTCGCGTGGCGAAAGCTACTTCATAATTGCCTATTTATTCGTAAGGGAGCAAATAGTCGTTAGTTTAGAAAAGCTTTGTAGCTTTGTTACTGACAAGCTAATAGCGAGATCATTAGTTGGAAAAGTAAATATTGGTGCAATAGTAACTAGTACGTTGTCCATTTGCTAATTTGTAACGTTACTATACTGCCTTTTAGTTTGCAAGGTCTGTTAAAAAAATCGCTGTCTCCAAGAAATCTGCATGCCAGATGTTAACTTCTGTTTATATCTTTAGGGAAGTAGCTGTGATGGTTATACATTTTTAACATTTCCCATATAGTGTGAGTTATTGCTGCTAATCCGTAGTGATCCCCAAATCGTCCACGACATCAATCAACGTGCAACTTTCTTTAACTTTACGCGTAAAATAAAGAAAATAGCGATGTCTGATTCGTGTCGAATCGTTCTGCAGAGTCGATTCCAATCAATGAATTGTTTAAAACAGTTCACAAAACGGTCTGAACCTTTCATTTACTAATCAGACCGAATTGGCCTTTAAATGAACTGTTCAAATGAACCGATTCGCTAAAATGAGTCGGACTTAACATGACTGGAAGACTATCGTGATCACGCACATGGGCGTGGCTTACAGTACGCAGCCAATAGCGTTTCAGTGGGCGTGTACGTAACCCTTTCTATTATTACTCAATGTGTTTTACGATGTCCAGCTTTCATTTAAACAGCTAGCGACGTTACTTAGTAGATAAACAGAGGTGCTCACTATAAACCATTTACCAGGTAAGGAAGTCAAACGTATCGACATATGAGAGAGATATTACGTTGAAATCTGCTTCTTGTGGTGTTGTCATTTATAGTATATGATTATTTAAACAAAGGACAATGTAAATAGTGCAAGAGTTACCGTGGAAACCTGATTAATCCCGTTGCTCAGATCCGACTGTTACAAGTTCTATTTGTAGTCAGAAACACACTCATTGTGATTTAAGAAGACTATAGGCTTTGTCCTAAACAGTGAGTATTTACATGCACCCAATTCTTGACTGCAAACCTATTACAATGTAGTCACATTTGTTTGAAAAATCCAGTTACACAAAATTTGGACAATGTTTAGACCTGGCTTTATCGCTGGCCATTTGTTATTGGGTCACCTGAGACAGATGTCCATTCTAATTGTAAATGAGATGAGTTTCTGACCTTAGGAAATGAAATGCGCTCAACTTCCCTGTTCCCTATGGAAAGTACAAGTAAATAATTTAAAGTGTGTGACAAGTTACACCCCAAAGTTTCATATTCAGTGTTAGTAGTTCATGATATTGACCTCGAGCAGTAATATTTATGATGCTCTTGGTCTTGGTTAGTGTTCTTGACTTCTGTGATCCTGTTGCATGGAGCTGGAGAGAAACTGAGTGTCTTTATCTGACCTTTTGATCTAGTGCCAGGGCATGTCGCTTAATAACCTTCTCACAGGGCAACACATGTGAGCACAGCGGCTTACTGTACACTAGCCAGACAGTGTAGGTTTGTCTGCACCTTTTTTTTTGATGAGTATGATTTGAGTAATTTAATTGTTCTGAAGCAACTTCAATTGCTTGGCTTACCTTTTAACAGAATTAAGCTCTTTTTTATGCCTCGTGTCAGCACTAGGTCCAACTTAAACCTGTTTTAAAGTTGATTTAAAGCTGCTGTTTGGCTTAAACATTGACTGAACACTGATATGTTGAAGCATTGTGTTTGGTTTCACTCTAGTGAAAATAGTGACTGTATTTTCTTTTTTATGTTTCTAGTGTTATTTTGCATCTATATGGAGCTGTACCTGTGTTAAACCAAAAGCATCCATCTAGTGTGATCCAATCTCAAGCGGGCAGGCAAGACAGATCAGTGTTTATACCTGGTTTGTTTATTTATTTTATTTAATAATGCTTTTATTAAAATGCATATTTAATAAAATGTCTGTCTGTCTGTTTTTCTTTATCTGTCTGTCTACCTGTCTGTCTGTCTCTCACTCTGTCTATATCTATCTGTCTGTATCTATCTGTCTGTCTACCTGTCTGTCTCAGTCTATCTGTCTTGCTCTGTCTGTCTGTATCTATCTATCTATCTATCTATCTATCTATCTATCTATCTATCTATCTATCTATCTATCTATCTATCTTTCTCTCTGTCTGTTTGTCTCGGTCTATCTGTCTGTCTGTCTCTCTTGGTCTATCGGTCTGTCTTGGTCTATCTGTTTGTCTCTCTAGATCTATATGTCAATCTGTATCTATCCATCTATTAATGTCCCCTTTCTCCCAACACAGCGAGGATATTTCCTGTACAATATGAGTGTGAGACAGCTGTAGAGGTAGTCTTAGAAACAGACCCTTACAGGCAGGTGCAGGGAGACAGTTAGAACATGTCAGAGGACAATCAGATAAGTGTCTTATTCACTCAAACATCTACACAGTGTAATTCAGCCATACACTCAGTATTCAAAGCACAGATCGTAGACTCTGAGCTCTTTTAAGGTGAAACAGACCATTCGTTTCTCATGCATGCAATTTTCTGTTGTTTAGCCCCAAAAAGGATAAATTCATGAATTCTGGATTTTGACGTCAAAGTAACTGTTACTCCAATGTGACCAATTTATTGGTGAAAAACCATGGTACCACATACAATTGTGACTTTTTAATAGTTATCTCTTGTTTTGTTCTCTCCACAGGAAAGGGATATGGCTCAGGAGACCAATCAGACCCAAGTGCTTTGTTCTAATGGTTGTGGGTTTTATGGGAACCCACGTAATAACGGCATGTGCTCGGTCTGCTACAAAGACTCCTTACAGCGGCAGAACAACAGTGGCAGATCCAGTGATCCAGGTGAGTCAGAAGTCTCACAAAAATAGACTCCTTTCCAACTGTTCTGTCTTAGCAAGTACTGTTTTACTTTTACATATGTAAAAATACAAAGGTATTTGATCATGTCAGGCAGTGGCATCAGTTCACCAAAAGCAAGGTATGGCAAACGATGATAACATCATCAACTCTTACTCCCTCTACATGACAGTCCCACATAATTTCTACAACAAGTAGCCTACATCTACACATATTTAAGCCATTTGACAAATTTAAATGTATGAAATTTAAATTCATGCAAAGGTATAGCTATAGCGGAGAGAAAAACAACCAAAATGCTGTTGACAAGAACACCAACCTTAAAGGGGTGGTTGATTATGATTTCACTTTTCTAACTTTAGTTAGTGTGTAATGTTGCTGTTTGAGCATAAACAATATCTGCAAAGTCACAAAGCTCAAATATTCAAAAGAAAAGGGAGATTTTTTTCTTTTAAAGAAATGGCTTTTTAAGGACTACAACAAATGGCTGGTGGGGACTACAGGACATTCCTCCCGGGTTAGTGACATCACCAACCCTAGAATTTACATAAACTCCGCCCCCGGGAACGTGATTTATAGGCTGTCCAGTCCACTTTTAGACACGCACTTGCAAACTTCCCTAAGCACTTCCCCTCGGGGGAATCCCTGCCGCCATTTTGAAGTGCGTTCCACTTCGTGAAGTGGACGAGGGAAGTTTATGGACAGACCCTCGATTTTGACAGAGGGTGCGAGTCTACTTCATATGTACACTTCAGGCAGCTCCATATACCACAATGCAACACGATTGTGACGTCGCCGCAGATCTCGTCTTATCACCACAACCACTAACAACTCCATGATATATTAATTATATATGTTTTAATTTAAAACAGCCCAAACACACCTATATACATTTGGATGCTGCATTAAACACATTTCTTAAAGGGTTAGCTCACCCAAAAATGAAAATTCTGTAATTACTCCCCCTCATGTTGTTCCAACCCCGTAAGACTTTCGTTCATCTTCGGAAAACAAATTAAGATATTTTTGATTAAATCTGAGAGCTGGTTCACTCCTCCATAGTTTTCTTAAGGGATCGAAACTGTGCGGCCCAAAAGTTATGAAAGACATCGTTAAAATAGTCCGAGTGACTACAGTGGCTCAATCTTAAGTTTATCAAGCGACGAGAATACTTTTTGTGCGCAAAAAACAAACAAAAATAACGACTTTATTCAACTAATCATTTCCTTCTCTGTATGGCCGTGATATTTCACGTAGTGATATTGCGCAAAGCTTCTAGGTTGCACGTCACACGTAGGCTCACTATTGGCCGACGCTGGTCATGTGTGTGATGCGTGACGTACAACCTAGAAGCTTTGCGTAGTTTCACAACGTGAAATATCACGGCCGAACAGAGAAGGAAATGATTAGTTGAATAAAGTCGTTATTTTTGTTTGTTTTTTGCGCACAAAAAGTATTCTCGTCGCTTGATAAACTTAAGATTGAGCCACTGTAGTCACTCGGACTATTTTAACGATGTCTTTCATAACTTTTGGGCCGGCCAGTTTCGATCCCTTAAGAAGCCTATGGAGGAGTGATCCAGCTCTCAGATTTAATCAGAAATATCTTAATTTGTGTTCCGAAGATGAACGAAAGTGTTACGGGGTTGGAACAACATGAGGGTGAGTAATTGCTGACAGAATTTTCATTTTTGGGTGAACTAACCCTTTAAAGGGAAAAAAAATTAAATAATAAATCAACTCCATAGCTGATTCCAAGTGATCAAGGGCTTAGGATGTTCCAATTCAGCCTATTGCAGTTTCCACCAGTAGTGAGCACTCGTGCAACATAAGCAATGACGTACATCAGAGTGAACGAGACTGAGGGAAGTTAGAGAGTGAAGGGTTATCAAGACAGAATATGCCAATCGATGACTAGAAGATAACTACACAAGCTACATAAATTCATCAACTAACCATTCAGAAATGTCCTGTTGCATACTTGTCATCTCCATCATTGTCTGACTCCAGTTTGAACATAAAAGGGCTAAAAGTGCTTGAAATTTTCAGTGCTTGTCTGTGTAATTTGAGCTCTTAACATGAGCTGTTGAAGCTCCGCCCTCTGTGCCGTGAGCACCAGCTCATTTGCATTTAAAGGGACACACTAAAACAATGCGTTTTTGCTCACCCTCACAAAGTGACAACTTTAACATGCTATATAAAAATTTATGTGGGGTATTTTGAGATAAAACTTTACATACACACGCTGGGGACATCAGACTTATTTTACATCTTGTGAAAAGGGCATTATACCACCCCTTTAAAATAAAAGTGCTGAATAGATTTTTTTTTTGGTAACATTATACTGTAAAAGCCTTCTCTTACTTTTGATCAACTTAATGCATCCTTGATAAATAAACGGGTTAATTTCTTAAAAAAAAAAAAAAAAAAAAAAAATGTTTTCTCGTCCTGAACTTTTGAACTGCAGTGCGTCTATCGCTAACTCTAAGATTTCTGTGTGGTGTGTGTAACACTGCTCACAATGAAATATCATTGGACCAAAATCCTGCTTATCTACATCACAAAGTTTTTGATAAGCTGTAATTTCATTATTCTCTACAGCATTTAACCTTCATTCATGAATGCAATGCCACTGTAAACTTGTAAGTTGTTCCGTCATGCCTGGTTGGGACCACAGTGTCATACTGAAATGTGTCTCAAAAAACAAACCCTCACATAGGGAGAAGTTAAAATGGTAGTGTTGACATTTTGGGTTTCCTGCTCTTTCATTGCCTGCAGTGTCTTCCAGCATAAGCAGTAAAGGAGAATCTATGACTGTACAATCGACGTCACAGCATGAACAAAACAGGTAGAACATCTTCCTCTTTACCACCCCTCCAAAATTCCTCATTGCAGTTGTGTAAGTTGTTGCAATTGCATAGGATCTAGTTAATTTGTGCAACTTTTATATCAGAAGGGCAAATAAAAGCTTGTTTTCAGCCCTATGTATCATTCTGCTCTACCATTTTATATGGGTTCCTACGCAGTTTGGAAAAGAATGGAAAATTTGGAATTTGGTTAATTTCCAGGTGGATAAGTATGGAAAAATATTTGTTTCCAGACTATCAACCCTATTCAGTTTTCTAAAATATAACATTAAGAATTTCTAAAAATAAATGTATCATACAACCAGAGTGTTTTCATGGCAAAAATTTAGTGATCCTTTTGTGATTGTTAAACACAATTGAATAAATTCAAGGCACACTTTTATTATGCAAAGCTCTATGTCTTGTACCATAAGCGAGTCTCTTTTGAACTTCACTAAATGAATGTGCGTGTGTCACTCAAACCAGCAACAGATAAAGGAACGAACAATCATCTAAATCAGACTGTACTTTGCTGTTTGGTGATCATTCAACATCAAACCATGATTACAGTATCAAACCGATGTGAGGTGAATATATGCAGTTTATAAAGTGTTTTATGTTTTGGTTACACTTTACTTTAAGGTATCATTTAAGTACTGAGTAATAATAATTAACTACATGTATTTACTATTGGGTTAGGGTTAGGAATGGGGGTTGGTTTAGGGTTAATTGCATGTAATTATGCATAATTTATAGTTATTACTACAGTAACTGTATTTAACATGTAACAATGACACTGTAAAATAAAATGTTACCTAGGTTTCTTTTCATTATGTAAGCGCATGTTATCACTTCGAGAAAATCAATGAAAAAAAATCCCCGGAGAAATTAAGAATATTTACAGATTACTAAATTAATGCTGTATGAACCAACAAATATGGTCTGAAAAACCTACAGGTTTGAAAATTTGAGTGTGGAAAAGTATGGAATTTTGAAATGAAAAATGTGTAGGAAGTTTGGAATCCTGTATATAACAATATCTCTATATTTGTATGGTTATCAGTGGGCAGTTCTAAGGTTTTGATTCTTTTGTTAAACTCTGGTATTACATATTGCATAACGTGAAGCTGTTTTTGCCCTGATGCCAGACTTGCTCATTTATAAATAGTCTTATTTTTTTCATTTTCTGTCCATCAAGTTCCAATTAAATTTACAAAATATGCCAATCAAATGAGTACCATTTATTTGTAATGTATTCAATTAACAGGATTACCCACAAATAGGCATTACAGCATGGTTATTACAATATTTTCTCATTTAATTTCCAGCTGCGATATAAAATTATTCATCCTGTGATATAAGATTTTGGTCTTAGCACCCACTCCTACATGTTTTACACTGTTATGATGTCTTTTCACTTATGTAACATAATCTTTTCTCCTCATCATCCTCTCCAGTCAGTGTTTTTCAACAACAGCAGCAGTTACACATAAAGACGGTGCTTCAGTAGCAGCTCAATCAGGCCTGAAAATGCCAGGTACCTTCCCTTTTTCACTTTGACCCGATTATTATGTCATTCACCGCTCCAAAACCAGACACTGAACAGATTACCATGACACAGAAAGAGACAAAAGCTCTCCAAAATTCCATAGAAACATCTGATTGTTTGCTTTGAGACCAGGCTAGAAAGTGTTCAAAGTTCACTTTTTACATTTGATTACGTCGTCTTCTTTTTTTCAGGGGTAAACAGGTGTACATTTCTTTGTCGACTGATTTGACTGATCATAGGACTCTTGTTTGTTACTTAATTAGGTAGAGTTGTTTATTAGAGAGATTAATTATGAAAGTCACTAAATAACAGAGCACACTGGTTTAGCAAACTTAACTTTTGCCAGCAAACTAATGCTAGTTGAGTAGTTTCTTTTACATATGGGCTGTCCACATTTGAGATTGTTCATCCAGGGTCGTTCATCGGGCCTAATCACTCTGCTGCACTGTTTGCAACACTGACACTGTTATTGATCTGAATTGAATCAACATTGAACTGACTTGAGCTGAATATTGGCACCATTGTGAAAAAAAGAAAAGAAAAAGAAAGTACACCCTTTTGAATTCAATGGTTTTAGCTATCAGGACATAATGAAAAATAATCTGGTCATTTCTGATGTCTTTCCTCCTTGGCATTGTGTTAACACGCACCAGCAAACTGCCAAAACGTCTGCTTTTATGGAGTTGGTCACGCTTGCTGATGATCATTTTATCTGGCATTTGATTAGCACTGCCTGACTGCTACTTAAAACTCTTAATTTCTATGGAAGCAGTAAGGGTGTACTTAGTTTTTCACACATGACTTTTCCATTTTTGCCTAGTTTTTTGTTAAATAAACCATGACACGGTGTAATATGTCATGTGGTGTTGTTCATCTGAAGCTATATTTACCTAATTTTAAGACCTGCCACGGGCCAGATGTTTTTTATTATGTCCTGATACGTAAAACCGAATTCAAAAGGGTCTGCTTTCTTTTTCACATGACTGTAGCTCAATTAAACTCGTTTCATAATAGATGAACTTTGGAACATCAACACAGTTATTGAACTGAATTGGAACAATATTACTAAATTGAACTGAATGACACTATTCTCTTCTGTAGAGCTTATTTACAGCTGAAATTGACTTGACTAACTTTTCTTATTTGCATATATATATGGAATCTGAACATGGCAGTCAAGTTTAGTACATCATGAAAAAATATTATGTAAAACTAAAAATAACATTTAAACCAGGGCTTTATAATCCAGGGTTACATCTGTGTATACTAGTGTTAAAAGTCTTTGAGTTTATGGACCCTTCATGTAGATTCTTTAGGGAAAATGACTGTGTGTTTGTTTGTATAGAAGTATCATGCAGTAAACTGGCGAGAAACGTTCTGGAATCCACCACGGAAAAGCTGCTTACAGCGGGTAGCTCTTCGCTGGAGGATGGCACATCGAGAGGAAAGAGAAAGTTAGATGAAACTTCTGAAGCCACAGAAGCAGTGTCCGGTGAGTACAGAGTTCATATTTATCGGTTTGATTCATGCTTGCCATAACCTCCTAGTTATGAGAACACACGCTCCTTCAGCACGTTCTGGGGTGCGTTTCCCAAAGCCAACTATGGTCGCAAGTTCCGTTGTTACCAATAGAGTTCAATGGAAATTGCGATCATTGTTGGATAACGATGCTTTCGGGAAACGCACTCCAGATCAGTAATATCTGAGGAAAAGTTTCAGACACTAACCGGGTGCCTACCAAGAATTGTTGATGTTCAGAATCTCATTGAGATGTTCTTCTTGTTAGCAGCATTTCTAAATCTTTGCCACCTGCATGTATTAAACTCTTAACAGCCTCAGAATTAGATGTCTCAGAGCAGACCTCAGATGTGCCAGAGCAATCCAAACCCAAGAAGAACCGCTGCTTCACCTGCCGCAAGAAAGTGGGGCTCACTGGTATGCAAAATTATATACTATACATTATTTATATTATTTATATGGTAACACTTTACAATAAGGTTCATTAGATAACATTAGTTAATGCATTAACTAACATGAACTAACCATGAGCAATACATTTGTTACAGTATTTATTAATCTTTGTTAATGTTAGTTAATACAAATCCAGCTGGTCATTGTTTGTTCATGTTAGTTCACAGTGCATTAACTAATGTTAACAAATACAACCTTTGATTTTAATAACGTATTAGTAAATGTTGAAATTAATATTAACTAAGATTAATACATGCTGTAGAAGTATTGTTCATTCTTAGGTCATGTTAACTAATGAACCTTATTGTAAAGTGTTATCATTTATATTTATACCATGGTCTGTCTGTATACTCGATTCTGATTGGCTGGAAGGTGTGCACAGACGCAGGTAATTCTCTCTCTCTCGAACGAACGAACGAACGAATGCCAGGTCTAATGAGCCGTAACTGACTAAATTAACCGTCATTGTACCCTTCCGATCAAATATTGTGCCATCAATAACAACTTTACCTTTTCTATGTTGGCAAATGACCATGTTATAAGAGGAATAATCCATAGCTAGCTGTGCATTAAACGATTTAAATGCACTCCGCTTGGCGTCGAGTGGTTCTTTGCCTTCACATTGTGCATTAAAATCATTTAATGCACAGCTAGCTGTGGATTATCCCTTACATATACACACAGGCTGTGTTACAAAGCCTTGTTAGCTGCCTAAATGCTTTGCTGAGATTTTTTTGCATTTAAAGTATATGACAATTAAATTTGTTTCTGTATGAAGGTCTCTTGAGTTAATTTAACTTTTGTTTCTACCTGACAGGCTTTGACTGCCGGTGTGGACAGTTGTTTTGCAGCGTGCACCGATACTCAGATGTTCACAACTGTAGCTTTGATTACAAGGCTGATGCAGCAGAGAAAATAAGGAAAGAAAACCCGCTTGTCGTTGGGGAGAAAATCAAGAAGATTTGAGCTGAAGATTGCAGAGATGTTTTTTTACCCTCTTTTCCCCACAAACACCCTTTACAAGATCTTTGAATTGTGCATGCTACAATGAAACATTTACGCAAATTTGTTTTGTCCCTTTGTTTCATTTTACACCTCAAATTTATTTACTTACAAAATGCGTTGGTATGTAAACCGCAAAATATTTATATGATTGCAGTAATTTAATTTGCATTACTAAATGCGTTTAAGTTCTCATGTTAAGATGACTTTTCGGGGTGGCTGTGTATTTCTGGTGATGAACAAAGCTTGCATGTTAAAACCATTGCCAGAATGTGTCTTTAATTTTTATTTTTTCTCAATAAGGATCGTAAGCAAGAAAATGAGACAATTTACTTAATATAAAAGAATACATGTTTTTAATATACAAGTTATTATGTGTGTGACTGCGATCTCTGGTTTAACAGATTTTTTGCACTTCATTACAGACTGTGATTTACATTTTTCCTATAGTTCATTTATTCGAGTGAGTGAAAGTTGCGAGTGATATTATTTATGTTTGTGAATACACTGTGTTCATGTTGAATAAAGTTTCACACGTCACACTGTAGTAAGGGCTCTAGTGAATCAATTTAGCTTAGTATACATTCCCTGTTTTGTTATAATTACTAAATTACATGCATCTGTGTATACTGTTAGTATTAAAAGTTAGCGTAAGACTGTTGCTTAAACAGATGAAAAATCTTGACTTTGGTTTTACGTTGCAGTGGTTCGCACATTGTGTAATATTACCGTCTGGTTTCTGACAGTACGTTGAATATAATCATTACATCTGTGATATCATTAGTAGTAACGGTACACCGTGTTAGTTGTAGATTATACAACTTTTTAAAGCTAAAAGAAAAACAAGCCCAACAGCATACAGAAAGGCTGAAATCATCTGCCCAAAAATGTTTTAGTCTGAATGACGTGAGTAGAAAAGTGTGAAACATGACAAATTGTAATGTAGTACTTGCCTTGCGAATGCTGTAAATGATCATTTTACATATTGCATGCGTCTGTATGATTTTCACACCATGCGTAACCCTGGCTTGTATTTAGGAAACATGAAACCCACCATTCCTAGGACATTAGAAATGAAAAAAGACACTGAGTGTTTATCAGTGTTGGGTAAGTTACTCCAAAAAAAGCAATTAATTGCTAGCTATTTACATTTTCAACAGTGTAAATCGATTACTGTACTAAATTATCTCTCTAAAAAGTAGTGTCTTATTTACTAATTGCTTTCTAAATCTGATATCAACCTTAGCCAGTTGAACAATACAAGGATAGAAATGAAACTACACTTTTAATTCCTTGAAATAAATATTATAAAATTGCTCAAATTATTCTTGAACTTACCAACTTTTTAAAGGCAGGTTACATTAAAAAAAACACATTTCAAAATGCATTAAATGTTTATGTAAAATCCATTGTTTTATATAGAATTTCTCCATAGTCTATATAGTATTTAATGCAATTACATCAGAAGTAACTAATTCAATTACAGAAACAATTAAGACTTTACTTTTTCAAGGGAAATGTAATTGAATGACAGTAATTAATTACTTATGCATTACACCCAACACTGGTGTTTATTCAATGTTGTGTTCTAATTCATGGTTATAAAACCCTTAAATAAAACGTTAGACAACATTGTTTTAGGTTGTCATAAAAACAGTTTAGCAAAAAGTATTTTCCTAGAACATTAGGAATTTGGGAATAATTGACTGGAGCTTAATTAATTGCAGAGAATTATGAAATATGACAAATTGTAAATCAAAATTTGCTTTGCAGGTGCTGTAAATTATTATTTACATATTAGCCTGTATGATTTGCTTAAATTATTACCAGGCTTGTAATTGTAAACCTAAAAAGCAACATATTTAGAATTTTAGGAATTTAAATAAATAAATAAATAACAATATACATTCAGTGTTGGATAAAGCCAATTCAGTCTATCAAAAAAAAAAAAAAAAAAAAAACTCTGCTACTTTCTTGGAACATTAGGTCGCCACGTAAAAACCGCTTATGCTTGTTAAAATGAACGTTCATACAACATTAGTAATTGTCTAAAAAATAATGAGAACCATACACTAACGTTAGGGTACCGTTCTGTGGTTGGTATTTTTCTGCTGAGTCACGTCGAAGTTGACGAAGAGGTCTTGAGGTTGGGAGGATAGAAGGGGGCGTCTCTGATTGGCTCGCCGCTTCGACACGTGAGGCGGTAACTTTCATATGTCTCAACTGGGCATCTGGAAGAAGTTACTTGCGCTTTTGTTTACTCTGAGAAGTATTTCAGAGTACCATTGTAACTTCAAAATGTCTTTCGTAAAAGTTGAGGAGAAAAGTGACTTTTCTTATCACAATTTGCCTTACGGAGTTTTTTCCACGCCAGATAATGTAAGTACACAGTTTATTCAATCCTAAAAATGTCAGTATGTTTGGTCGAACCGAATTACTAAAGTCTTGTTTAATGTTATGCAATGAGAGTGTGTTTAAGATTATAAAACTAAATGATGTTACTTAGAATATTGTTACTTGCACTGCAATTCTGTGTGTGGACACAGTTGGTTTCAAGGGTCAAGGAACATATTGAAAATCAGGATTCAGAATCTAAAGTAAACCCTCTCTGTCAACAAAGCTTTATTTGGCATGATTTTCAGCATTTCAAATATTGCCTAAGCATATATAGCATTTCGATTATTAAAGTAGACAGTGCAAAATGATAATAACATTTGTGTCCATGTAAATTCCTTTGTACAAAATGGTTATTCCTTCCACAGAAGCACACGATGCTCTTTGGAACATGCAGAAGAACATGATGATTGGTTTTTGTGCTGCTGTCATACAAGCAAAATAAAACTAAAGACACTCTGAAATTCATGCAGAAATGTTCTAATCACAAAATCCTTTCAAACTTGTATAACATATTTGGTTATAACAGCCCAGGCGCAGAATCGGCGTAGCCATTGGAGACCAAATTTTGGACCTTAGTGTTATCAAGCATCTTTTCAATGGACCAGCTCTTGGGCCCCACCAGCATGTTTTTGAACAGGTGAGCTTCATCAGTTTAGCTTTGTATTAAATATTATGTGTTATTCTGCATGCTTACACTTGTTTATCCCCCCCTATCAAAGCCCACACTCAATGCATTTATGGCTCTGGGTTATGACGCTTGGAGAGAAGCGAGAAAGTGCCTCCAGATGCTTCTGGCTGCAAATGAGTCCACGCTGCGTGATGACGTCAGTTTAAGAAGCAGGTAAATGTCCCTCCCACATGATGGAGTCCATTCGTTAGTGTACTTTTTATTGCATATTGTTACTAAGTAAGTATGCACTGTATACTGCCTATAAAAAAAAAACAGTACACATTATGCAGCAACATCAAACATTTTAAATAGTAGCATTTTATTCATTTTATATTATTTATTTTTATTTTGTTTATTTAACATGTCTTTATTTGAGATGACCTTTAGAAGGGAAGCTGAAGAAAATAAATTTCATTATGGCATTCATTATGGTGTGTGTGTGTGTGTGTGTGTGTGTGTGTGTGTGTGTGTGTGTGTGTGTGTGTGTGTGTGTGTGTGTGTGTGTGTGTGTGTGTGTGTGTGTGTGTGTGTGTGTGTGTGTGTGTGTGTGTGTGTGTTTGTGTGTGTGTGTGTGTGTGTGTGTGTGTGTGTGTGTGTGTGTGTGTGTGTGTGTGTGTGTGTGTGTGTGTGTGTGTGTGTGTGTGTGTGTGTGTGTGTGTGTGTGTGTGTGTGTGTGTTCTGTTGTGATTTTGTGATCTCCAGGGCGTTTGTTCATCTGAGTTCAGCAGTGATGCATATCCCAGCTGAGATAGGTGAGTGTGATGGCCTGTCTTATACTCAGACTTCATATTTCCATATCATATTTCCATATTTAATCTATTACTCGTGTTTTATATCAACTCTGCTCCTCAATTTATATTTAAAGTCCACATGAAATCCCTTTTGCAACTGTTTAACTTCAATTATCATTTGTATTTCAGAATAAAACAAAATAATCATCTAGAAAAAAATAATGGGCGGGACTTAATTTTATCCATAAGTAATTGATGGATCATCATGACATAACATAATTAAGCATGGTGGTGAAGAATTGAAACAAAAGGGATTTGGCATGTCAGCCAAAAACTAAAGTTGTTTTAGAGGCAGAGCAAGTTATTGAAGACATTTTTTTTTTTTTTTTACTTTGGAAGAACATACACTCATGAATAATACATAATCAACACTTTCATGCTGACTCTAAAGTTAAAACAGTTTTAAACAGTTTGACTACTTTATGAATTGGATCGTTTCGGATGCGGCATAAAAACTAGTGTAATTTATGGTTATGTTCCATAATGACCACTAGAGTGCACTGTTCACTAACTATAGCTTTCAGAGCCATTCTGAAACCTTAACACCCTTTCTCATGCCATAGATTACAGCCTTGTTTTTTGTGTGTTATTTCTGTATTATTTTGGTATTTACTATGTGTTTGGTGTTTTCTATGTGTGTTTAATAATCATTAATAATAATAATTAATTTTCCTCAAACATTATGGATAGGGTTTGTTCTAATACTCTAACCTTAAGTATTAACTTATGTAGTTACCTCAGCTTTAACTTTTATATATAACATATTTATTTTGTTATTACTGTTATTTATTTTAGTTTTTTGTAAACTTTATTCTTAATACTCCTGTAAGAAATGTAAGATTCAAGATCAGAATGAATCATTCAGACGACAGAACAGCAGCGCACACTTATAATAAACAGAACAATATCGTCTGCTGGTGTGGACGCTAATATAGTTATTATAGTCTTTATAGTTACCATTCTTGGTGTGAACAGGCCTTTACATTGATAGAATGTTATTCAGATTCAAAATGTAATCAATAATGAGGTCGTCATATTATTTGAATACTGAATTCTTGATTGGTCTTTTCTTTCTAGCACTATTTACACATATAATTGTTTTGAGAGCACATTTCATTAATAAATAAGGACAGATAGCTGCAGATACATAGCCAAATTGAGTCCCATACAAGTCAAAGATCTAGCGTTTCTTGAAGAGAGATCAGAAGTTTCTGGATATGGGAAATTTGGAACCTTTTGTGAAAGGTGGTTTCATAATGGCTTGATAAAGGAGTTGCAGGGATGGTTTATTCAAACATTCAAAGTTACTTTTATTTACTTTTATTTATTTTATTTTATATTTAATTCAGTGTAAATAAATTACTTTTTGTACATTTTGTCCTGTCATTACGGCCCTGAATTATTTTCTTTCTTTGATGAAACTTTCTTCCCCTTCACCGGAGCTCTCAAATCACTTGCATCAGAATTTGCATAATTTATACCACATGTCATTAGTTATCAATTGCCACGTGACCAATTACAAATCTAAAATTGTGAATGAGATTTAAGACCGCGAGGTGGCGATTATAAGCGAACTAAAATAAATGCAAATTTCAGACATAAGTATAAAATTCATTTTCTCACACAAAGCATCATACATCTTTGAAAAAATGGATTAGTTATTAATAATAACTAAATAACATTTTTCAGTGTAGTGCACCGAAAACAGAACTGAATTCTAACAGATATATGGGGGGACAAATGATGATTTTTCACTCCTGTCACTGCATGTGTTTATTCCTCATTAATCCCCTTAGTCATTTTCCGTCATCTTTTATTCTCCCTTCTCTCCAACAGGTGACTACACAGACTTTTACTCATCGAAAGATCATGCCACCAACGTTGGAATAATGTTCCGTGGAAAAGAAAACGCATTGATGCCTAACTGGTACGTGACAGGCCATTAATATTCCTCACCCTCTTAAATACTAACATCCGAAGCAATCGTATCTCCGGAAACACAATCACATCATCAGCAGCTCCTGCTGACTTTATATATTTCACTCATCTTTTGAGTTAGCAACCATACGCATTCGAGTTTTAAAGACCCAGCAAAGTTCCTCTAAGTTATACCCATAAACAGTCTCTTTATTTTCTCCCATCATACGCCTGTCAGGCTAAATAATGCACCTGCGTATTTTCCAGCTCGCTGTGAAAAACGTCTTTTTAGCAATAACTCTTCCCTCCAAAACAGAACTGTATTTCTTGTCACATTTTCACTTACAAGGCCCAGAGAGGGGGTTTTTCGCCTGGAGACAGAACAAGGACTCGTGTGGAAATAGAAAGGGACTTTTTTTTTTTTAAATTCAATTTTAGTCACCTACCTGAAGTTGCCCTCGGCTCAGTCAATCTGTCACTGGGACTTTCCAAACGCGCTTCAAGCTGGGGTTTTGTTTTCTGGGTGATTTTTGGAGTAGGATGAAATGTACAAGGTCACCCAGAAGTGTAAATTCTGTCAATATTTACGCACCCTCAAGACACTCCAAACCCGTTTGCTGGTAATTGTTTTCTGTGGAACAGATCGATTTTTAATATATATATATATATATATATTATTATTATTATTATTATTATTATTATTTTGCTCTTTTCCATACAACAAACCATGACTAAACTCAAATGTGTCATTTTTCAGAAGAGGAGAAAGATATTATGCATTTATGTTGGTTTTGTGCTTTTGTTGTTTCCTGTGGGTCTAATACAGTGAAATGGTTGTTTACACTTGACATTAAATTACAACTGAAACCATACAATACAATAATTTTGGGTGATCATCATACATAAAAAACTTTATTAAATTCAAGTATTATCCTAACTGGAAAGGTATATTCATTATTTTAAAAACCAAAAACAGGAATGATTTGAATTCACCTGCATTGAAAGTATATCTGACCATTGTTATTTGTAAGAAAAAAATGACATGACATTGAATATGTAGAGAATGCTTTTTTTAAATGCTTACGATTTTATTTTTTATAAGATTTTTATCTGGAAGCCTAAATACATAATGTTTAGGTAACTGATGTGCCTTTGCTCTTAAATGTAAAGTGGACTTTTATATAAGAATGTTTATTTATATGAAATGTGTGTGTAATAAAAATAAAACACAACTGGTTCTGATTAGCTCAAATGTGAAGAATGAGATTTAAGAGCAGAAAGGATGATTTTCAGTTAACAGCTGATATTTATAAAACTTGCAATATTTATGAAACCATAAATGCATCAAATAATAAAACGTTGAAAACTACACAACACTGGGCAGTTTTCCTAGATAACTCTTAGCTCTTTTCCATTAAACAGATTATTTTACTTTACTTTCACGACCTATAGATGAGAGAGGTGTTGCTGGTCACATGTTGAGATTAGATAGTTACATGATTAAGATAAAGGATGGTTATATAGTACATCCAAAACGAAGATTTTTTGAAAAATGTCTCAATTTTCTGTTTTTTTTTGTTCATACACTGAAAGTCAAAATTCTTCATAATATTTTCTTTTGTGTTCTGGAGAGCGAAGAAAGTCACACAGTTTTTTATTGGAACAAAAGAAAGATTATGATGTGTCGTGTTAAAGGGAATGACATATTATCCTGTCCTGTAGGCTGAGACTGCCAGTGGGGTATCATGGGAGAGCTTCCTCTGTGGTGGTCTCTGGAACACCCATCAGAAGACCTCAAGGACAGATGAGACCAGATGCAGGTAAGCAAAAGACATTGGACAAACCGTGGGCTTGCTAACAGAAGTTATTCAACTGTAAAGTAGCTTAAAATTGAATACATGGTTTCTGTTTGATTGCACATTAAAATGGCATTAAAAATGTTCCTAATTTAGCCAGCTAACTGGGAACATTCTCAGAACTTTGGCTAACGTTCTGGCAAGATTCTCTCAAAGTTTAATAGAATAATGTTTAATAGAATGTTTGTTCAAAACTATCTGGTCATTAATAATGTTCTCAAAACATTAGCACAAAAGCAGTTTTCCTTGCAAAATATTTTTTGTTTATTTTCGCAGTTAAGTGCAAATTGAAATATTCTCTGTTTGAATAATGTGATGTGTATTAACATACAGCACAGTCAGCATTAACAAAACACAATATGTGATTTTTTTTTTTATTTGCTTCATAGACATCATAGCAATGATTAATGGCATCATGTTTTATGAAGAACTTCCATGTGGATGATTGGGCTGTTTTTATATTTTCACTTACGTTAAATGACTGCTTTCATTGGTCAGCAAACCCGTGCCGTTCATTATTACAGCCTCACTTGAGAACTGATCTGACATGTTTAAGTGAGAACTATAAATTTGAGGTAAATTCAGTCTATAATGAACTCTGCTGATTTATCCATTAAAACAGCTGTAAATCTGTTTGTTTCATAACTATATTTCTCTGTCTTTCTCATTCAGCTCAGCCGCCCATCTTTGGACCTAGCAAACAGCTGGATATAGAGTTAGAGATGGTGAGTAAATGTTTTATGCAATATAGATCATTAGTTTATTAGTTGAGCATGTTCTATAAGTTGAATAAGTTCTAGTTGAATATAAGTTCTTGCTGATTCAGTCCTGTGCAGAAAATACTTATATAGATCTCATACCTTCCCCATTGTTCATATAAACAAGGCACATAATCTCAGGAGAAATGTCTTTACAATGAATGTACTTTCAGTGGAAATGTTCCATAAATGGCACTCAATTTATTGATTTCTCCTTGCAGGTCTCAATGTTTTGCAGCTGATGGTCGATACGCACTATATTGTATTTGCTCTAAAAATGGCTCTAACTGATTTTCTATGCAACAATGAAACATTTGAAAATTGTGCTTTTATACACATTGCACCAGGTTTGGTGCACTTCCTGTCACTTTTCCCCCTCTTAAATATAGTCTACCGTGGCTTTGCGATATTTTTGTGCATGTGGTGCAATATCTTATGCAAGTTTTAAGAAAGATGAATGAAGGATGTTTTTGTTGTTCAGGCGTTCTTTGTGGGAAAAGGGAACAATCTGGGAGAACCCATCCCAGTGGAGAAGGCTCACGAGCACATCTTCGGCATGGTGCTTATGAACGACTGGAGTGGTGAGAACCAGCAATATGTTGTCTTCTGCAATACATATTCTCATCCTATATGATTTTATATAAGCTTAAAGTGCTCCATTTTTGGAATACAGCTGTTTGTGAATGTAAAAGGTCTGCAAAGTTTCAAAGATCAAAGTGCACAATAAATGGAGTTAGATTCTCCCAAAAAAAAATGAACTGATTCTGAACTACCTGAAAGGAGTTCAGTAATTGATCACAGAATTTTCCTTTTTGGGTGAACAATCTCTTTAATGCCAACTTATGGTTTTCATTGGATGCCCTCGAATAACGTCTACTTTGACCCGCCCTCAAGCACTAGTTGTAGCTGAGGCTTGGAAGAGTTTGGTTCGTGTTGTCAACATGTCAAGAAGACGCTGTTTTCTGTTCTGCAAGAGGAAATGCACTTTGCATGCACTTCCAAAGGATAATTACTCACACTCGAATTGATATGGTAAAACAGACGCCATCGTTACTCATTTTATCGCTGTGCATCAGCTGAAATTCAGATATGGTAATGGCCGTTTCATTTCCGACAAGCGCTGTAAGCGGTAGACCAATCACAACAGATAGGGCTGTCTGACCATCAGAGTAGAGTAGGCTTGTGGAAATGAGGGGTTTAGAGAGACTGGATTCTTGATCAAAACCGTTTCAGACTGAGACAAGAGGTGATGCTGCAATGTATATTATGAGAAAATGGTATGGTAACATCATTCTGATGGTCCCTTTTGAACGTAATATCTGCTAAGTCTTTTTTGTGATGGTCCTCCAACAGGCATTCTACTGACACTTTGCAACTGCATGTCAACTTATTCTAACCCTACCATTCTTCTAATACTCTACTAACACTCTAATGAGAGTTAGTAGACATGTAGGTGCAATGTTACTTATAGTCAACAGAATGTGTTAAAGGGAACATCAAAATAAAGTGAAACCAAAGTGTTTTTTGACCTTGGATGCATGTTGGAGACTTAGTAGGGCCATTTTAAAGGAAAGGTTTTCCCCCCAAAAATATAAGTTTTGCCATCATTTACTTAGTTTTCCCAATAATAATTTACTACCAGATTGAAATTATATAATAATATCAAAGTGAAATGTAAGGCAGAATGTCTGAGCTGTAAACAGAACTGGGTGATGATTTAAGGACAAAAAAGAACCCTAAAAATATCATAAAGGTAGACTCAGTATGAGATTACAGTATGTAATTACCGCAGTCTCGAGATGACAACACGTGATGCTCTATTCTGAGCTGTTCACCTCCTCAGACTGGGAATTATGCGTTTCTATGGCAAAAGTATCAGCACCTAAATGAGTCTTCACCTTTAAATCTCGTAATTTCGGTATTACAAGATAGCATTAATGCACCTATATTCCAAATCTTCTGATGCCATACGACAGCTTTGTTTGGAAAAATAGCAACGGAGATTTGAGAGGGATTGAAAAACAGGATAAAATTCCATACAACAATATTATCATGCACTGTACTTGTATGAAGGACTCTTGTAGAGAAGTTCCTATGTCATAAAACCATATTGGTACTACTTGACTATCTGACAACCCCTATCTCTTCCCAAACCTACAATGGTTCCTTCTTGAGAACACTAAACACATTGCATTTTTATGAGCCGTTGAGCAGATTTAGAAAATGAGAAACACTTTTAGGCCGAGAAGGCACTGGGTGATGCTTGGTGAAGCACGCATACATCCATTTACACAGCAGCTGCTTAGCTGTTAAGTTTCCATTCACAGAATATACTGTGTTTTGTAGCAGAGTGAGTAAAACACAAGTCTTTTGACTTTGTAATGGGGAATTTGTACCAACATGCAGATATGGAGCGAATTATGTGCCAAAACCTCACACACACACAAAACGTGTTTTACTCACACCCAATGATTCACAAACAAACTCAATGTGGTTTGTAAATACAAAACATCACTCACAAATTAATGCATATTGTTCTGCAAATAAGAAACGTACCTATAAAACAAATACAGTATGTTTTACATATACATAGAAACGTATTTCTTCAATGACAAAAATATCATCCAAGTACAAACTAAAATCTTTCAAGTACAAAACAAAATTCTACAAGTACGAAACAAAAACCTTCATGTACAAAACAAAATTCTACAAGTACAAAACAAAAACCTTCAAGTACAAAGCAAAAACCTTCAAGTACAAAACAAAAACCTTCAAGTACAAAGCAAAAACCTTCAAGTACAAAACAAAAACCTTCAAGTACAAAGCAAAAACCTTCAAGTACAAAGCAAAATTCTACAAGTACAAAACAAAATTCTACAAGTACAAAACAAAAACCTTCAAGTACAAAGCAAAATTCTACAAGTACAAAACAAAATTCTACAAGTACGAAAAACTGTCACGTGACTTTTGACACTATTTTTCCGCGTCCAGGCAGATTTCCTCACAAATGCAGTTGAGCAACTTCCTCTTCTAGAACAGTAGATGGCGCTAAGATAGGGGATCAATTTCGCGCTAGTCTCTCGGGAGAAACACTGATGTGAAACGCGTGCTTGCCTTTGCCCATGGGAAAATGAGCGGTGAACAGGTGTGTTTCTGTCTTACTTTATCTATAATTTACCTTATTGAGGTTTTGGTAAATGTTTATTATATAGACAGAAATCCACATTAGCACTTAGTAGCACTCCACTCTAGGATAAGGGAATCTATAAACTGAAAGCTCTGCCATCATATTGCTTTTTACATTTTTGTAAAAACGTTTCATTTACTGAATGAGTCTATTTCTTTCGTTCTCCATAAATTAATGAGAACATTTCATTTAATTGAAAGGGTCCCACTTATTCATTAATTTAGTTGGAATTCAGTCAGCGTAACTGTTAATGTAATAAAATAATGAATGAACAAAACAAACAATATACAATTGTTTCTTAACTTCCCTGTGACGTATTGCCCAAATTATTATTTTGGACAGACAAATGAAACCCTCCTTTCAATTAAATTAAATGTTCTCATTAATTTACGGAGAACGAAAGAAATAGATTCGTTCAGTTTACATATTTAGTAATTTCACACGCGTCTTATGTATTATTATTTTTTTTTTTAAAGCAACATATGATAGAGCTTTCAGCTTAGATTCCCCTATCCTAGAGAGAGTGAAGTGCTACTAGCGGTAATATGGATTTTTGTCTAGATGTAATAAACATTTTGCAAAAGAAAACCTCAATAAGGTTAATTAGATAAAGTAAGACAGAAACACACTTGTTCACCGCTCATTTTCCTCAGCTGTAGGCAGTGTTCTATTTCGTTATAGAATACATGCCCAAAAATGTAATTTGTAACGTATTCCATTACTCAATCTACAAACTATAAGGTAGCCTCTCTCACAGTCACAGACATGTCTACTTTTAAACGAACAATTCAAAACGAAAGAAAAAAGACTACAGACTGCTCTCTACTTATGTAATCCTGGCGCGTTCACTGCGAAGATCGCGAGTCACCATCGTCAACTTCATGTTTTCAGCCGACACACTGACAAAGAATACACTTGTTTATTATTAAACAATTAAAATATCTCCTTGCTATATTTTACATATTCAAAATCTTTTGCCGGTTCTTTGTGACAGCTTTAAGGTGCTTTATTGGCAGTGCCACCCTACATGGTACACGCGTCACCACCGCACTGCACCCACCAGAATAGGCCTGTTTAGTAAGCAGGATAAGATTGCCGCATTCTTACATTTATAAAAGGCAATTCAATGCAGACGTAATCCCTCAGATTGAGTAATGTAACGGAATATGTTACAAATTACATTTTTGGGCATGTATTCTGTAACGAAATAGAACACTGCCTACAGCTGAGGAAAATGAGCGGTGAACAGGTGTGTTTCTGTCTCACTTTATCTAATTAACCTTATTGAGGTTTTCTTTTGCAAAATGTTTATTACATCTAGACAAAAATCCATATTACCGCTAGTAGCACTTCACTCTCTCTAGGATAGGGGAATCTAAGCTGAAAGCTCTATCATATGTTGCTTTAAAAATTTTTTTTTACAAAAAATCTACATAAGACGTGTGTGAAATTACTAAATATGTACACTGAACGAATCTATTTCTTTCGTTCTCCATAAATTAATGAGAACATTTAATTTAATTGAAAGGAGGGTTTCATTTGTCTGTCCAAAATAATAATTTGGGCAATACGTCACAGGGAAGTTAAGAAACAATTGTATATTGTTTGTTTTGTTCATTCATTATTTTATTACATTAACAGTTACGCTGACTGAATTCCAACTAAATTAATGAATAAGTGGGACCCTTTCAATTAAATGAAATGTTCTCATTAATTTATGGAGAACGAAAGAAATCTCATTCAGACTCATTCAGTAAATGAAACGTTTTTACAAAAATGTAAAAAGCAATATGATGGCAGAGCTTTCAGTTTATAGATTCCCTTATCCTAGAGTGGAGTGCTACTAAGTGCTAATGTGGATTTCTGTCTATATAATAAACATTTACCAAAACCTCAATAAGGTAAATTATAGATAAAGTAAGACAGAAACACACCTGTTCACCGCTCATTTTCCCATGGGCAAAGGCAAGCACGCGTTTCACATCAGTGTTTCTCCCGAGAGACTAGCGCGAAATTGATCCCCTATCTTAGCGCCATCTACTGTTCTAGAAGAGGAAGTTGCTCAACTGCATTTGTGAGAAAATCTGCCTGGACGCGGAAAAATAGTGTCAAAAGTCACGTGACAGTTTTTCGTACTTGTAGAATTTTGTTTTGTACTTGTAGAATTTTGCTTTGTACTTGAAGGTTTTTGCTTTGTACTTGAAGGTTTTTGTTTTGTACTTGAAGGTTTTTGTTTTGTACTTGTAGAATTTTGTTTTGTACTTGTAGAATTTTGCTTTGTACTTGAAGGTTTTTGCTTTGTACTTGAAGGTTTTTGTTTTGTACTTGTAGAATTTTGCTTTGTACTTGAAGGTTTTTGCTTTGTACTTGAAGGTTTTTGTTTTGTACATGAAGGTTTTTGTTTCGTACTTGTAGAATTTTGTTTTGTACTTGAAAGATTTTAGTTTGTACTTGGATGATATTTTTGTCATTGAAGAAATACGTTTCTATGTATATGTAAAACATACTGTATTTGTTTTATAGGTACGTTTCTTATTTGCAGAACAATATGCATTAGTTTGTGAGTGATGTTTTGAATTTACAAACCACATTGAGTTTGTTTGTGAATCATTGGGTGTGAGTAAAACACGTTTTGTGTGTGTGTGAGGTTTTGGCACATGATTCGCTCCATATGCAGAGTCCAAGAAACAGGCAAACAGGGCAGAAGCTCAAACCCAAAGAACAGGAATCCAAAGTACCAGTGCTCAGAAATGCAATCAGACCAACAAGACTTCACAAAGTGAGAGTCAACACACAGGGCTTATAGGCAAGCATTAACAAGGTAATGACACTCAGCTGAAGATATTCGCATAATGAGTACAGTCAATGGTTAATGGGAAATAAAGTTCATGATGGGAACGCAAAGGAGTCGGGAGGAGTGCCCTCTGGTGGATTTCATGTATCATGTAGACTGTAGTGGAGAGAAATACATGTAATACAAAATAAAAAAAATTATACCAAAATGCATCAATAAGTTGTGAAAACCTCTCTTTCATCTACAAAGTTACTTCTTCACCAGCAGCGAGCAGGTCTCATTCCTTAGACATGCTACCTGTCTTCTAGTGAGATTCTGTCAGAATTATGCAGAGGGTAGATATCTGTATTTTATATGAGTACAGCTCAGAATAGTTTGTCCTGTTTGGAACAGATACTAGAACCTGTCTGTGTACATGCAGATGCAATTGACGTCTTGATGGTGCGTATTAGTGTCTCTTTGGCATCTGTTCTGCGTAAGGCCATGAAAAATACTCTGATGCATCAATCTGGATGGGATTTCTGGGCTGTATTAATTTCAGATATATGAATGGACTTGAAACGCAATGAATAAATAAAGAACTGACACGGTAAAGAATATCAGTGTCATGAGGCGGCAGACTTTATGAAAGCTTGCGGGTTATAAATTCAATAATATTGCTCAATGCGATCAAATTTATTTGTCTGGACAAACGCTTTATAAGACTTACTTTGCCAAGAAATTTTGGGTTGTATAATTAAATTATATTGCGCTATAATGCATTATGGTGAAATGCGAGAAATTATGCTGCAGCAAATTATTCCTTAAACAAATCAAATGTAGTTTTGGAGAGTTTATCACTAAGATAAGGCTCTTATGCTCTGCTGCAAAAACTTGGTGAACTACATGGGCTGCATTTTAAGCGATCATCATATATGCACACATATGCCTATGTAGGCTGTAGACGGCAAGGCAGTTCACTAGGTTTTGGAACACAGCTTGTTTGTGCCTCAGTAGGGATATGTACAGTGAATAATTGTACATTTTATTTGAAGAAACTAATTGAATTTAGTCGAGGAAGAGGAAATGCCTCAAGTAATGAACCATCCATACCCGTATTTAGGCAAGAAGCAGAAGAAATAAAGTTTAAAGAGAAAGCAGTGAGAAGCCTGTGTGCATGATCATTTCACTGTACAAATGGCATACAAGTTTCAAATGTAAATGCATCTAGTTGTTCAGGACACATACATTTAAGATGTTTTCTAACAAAAAATAAAGGATAAAGGGACCAAATTATATTTTTGCAGTGTTTGAAGAAAGTTTGAGTGGTGTTTTTCCCTGCAAACCTCACTTCCACTATGCCAGTGCATGATTTGTATAGATTTCTTGCTGTAGTGTCTTTCTTCTCTCTGTTGTTGCAGCTCGTGATATCCAGGCTTGGGAATACGTTCCATTAGGTCCATTCCTGGGCAAGAATTTTGGGACCACCATCTCTCCCTGGGTTGTTCCCATGGAAGCACTGATGCCCTTTGTTGAACCCAATCCTGTCCAGGTAAATTGGGTTAATTGTATAAATATTCTGATAATGATTTGACACTAAATTCAGACAGTTATTTGTTAAAATGAGTAAAAAAACAACAACAACTCTGACGTGCATGCACAATACATTGGCTTGTTGTTTGAGGTTTTGGCCTAGATTTGAGTACAGATGTATAAGATGTATACCATCAACATCATTTTCATATAAATGCTATTCTTTTGAACCTTCTATTCAGCGAAGAATCCTGAAAAGAAAGTATCGCAGTTTCCACAAAATATATTAAGCAGCACAACTGTTTTCAACTTTGATAACAAAAATAATTGTTTCTTGAGCAGCAAATCATATTATAATGATTTCTTGATCATCTGCCCCTAAAGACTAGAGTTATGATGTTGAAAATTCAGATTTGAGTTAACATTTTAAAATATATTTGAATAGAAAACAGTTATTTTAAATTGTACTAATATTTCACAATATTTCTTTTTTTTTTACTGTAGATTTTTGAGATTTACTGTTTTTGATAAATAAATACAGTCTTGGTGAGCATGAGAGACTTCTTTCAAAAATGAAAACCTTTTCAAAAAGCCTTATAAGTGCCTGATTTGGATCTCTCTACATAGGCAACAGCTCTGTGTCACGCAAACTGCCCTTCTTCATGCAAAATGGATGGGTGTCTTTAAAAGGCAGCATAATTATACTTATTGGTAGCAGCCCTTTGCGCTCATGCTTGTGTTGCCTTTGAAATGCTGCCTACATAGGCTTTGGACAAAGTACACTATTAGCACCTCTGGAAGGGCCATTGCAACCCATTATCTTTAAAAATGATATTCATAGTTTGAATTTATTCAACTTTACAGTCCTGTTACAGCTCTGAGGAACGGACACGTCATCATCAGACGTCAGAGTACAGACTTTGCATATAAGCGGGAAATGAGACGTGCTAAAAGCCATTCTTTGAGTTAACTACTTTCTTCTTTCTGTAAAAAACCAAACCACTATAAGTGAATGAGGCAAAAACACATCTTTATTCTCTTTTATGCATTCCTTTGTTAGATCAGTGATTCTCAATCGGTGGGTCGCCACCCAAAAATCTGTTCTGATGCTTGTTTTCTAATGCCGTTCTCTTTAGGAGTTCAACATGGACTTTTTAACAGCAAATATTTTTTGCAAAGACATTCTCTTTTTCCTGCATAATGATGTAGTTTCAGCATCTACAAGCAGGGCTCTCTGGACCAAGCAAACCAGACAAAACCTTGACCTCTTGATGCAAACATTGAATTCGGATGAGTCTCCATATACTGGCCAAGACGTGCACTTAATGTTTGGTGGGATTTTTCTAATGTTTTTTTTTTATATATATTTGTATATAATTTTAGGACCCTGTGCCTCTTCCATACTTGTGTCACGATGACCCCTACATGTTCAATATCAACCTCTTTGTCACTGTGAAAGGTGTGTGTCAGCATCTGTAACATCTCTGTCATTGTGCTTCTTTTGCACATGACACTTTTTACCTTTAAGTGCTCAGTCTCGTTTTCTTCCTCATGTATTTCTCATCTGGCCAGGTGAGGAGATGCAAGAGGCCGCCACCATTTGCAAGTCTAATTTTAAGGTAAGAGATATTTTGCATTAGTTTTGCGTTTATACGTTGCTGTTTCAAGAGTAACAAACTCATACTGACAAGTAGGGATGCACCAATACCACTTTTTCCTGAACTAGGCCGATACCGATACTTTTAATTTAGTACTTACCAATATCGATACCTGTATATTTATTGCATTTGTAACTTTGAATTATATTAGGTAGAGAAAGCTAAATAATATGAATCATTTTCATTGGTTTTTCAACAAAGTTATTTTCATGCTTAAATATGCCTGTTAAAATGTATTGTACATGCTTCTGTTACTTTCACTGTTCATTCTATTGCTCTATTATATTTTATCTTTCATTTAATAGCACAGCACGTATTAAGAGCTGCTTCAGCAGGGTTCAATGCTAAGGCTACTAGCTAGGAAACTCGCCAAGACTGGCGTTTTTACATAATTTTGTGTGAATTCGTCAGTTCAAACGCAAGTAGATGTGAAAGAGAATTCAATTCAGTATTCAAGTACTTTCTGAGACACGGCTTTCTGGGTGCGTGCTTCGGATGTGTGCGCGCACTAAACTTCTTGTCCTGTAATAATATAGGGAATCACTCGTTATACATAAATCACGTAACAGTTCACGTTTTTACTCACAAATACGATTTAGTTTTAATCCAAATGACACGTGTGTTAAGTGAGCGATCAGCAATCAAGAGCATGCAACAGAAGTGCGCGCACTCTCTCTCTCTCTCTCTCTTTACCGTCAGTTAACGTTAGTAAAATATGTGATCAAATAAACAACTTTCCAGCGATGTCTGTAAGGGATGCGCTCGACAAACTTGTGGGTCTATGTCGCTGTGTGCTTAATCCACTCCACGTGTTTCGCTTATCAGCTCGTGCACAGCAGCTATATAGGCGTAAATATTTCATTTGTTTGCCTTCTATTTATTCGATACATTTAGTTCATAGACATCCTTCTCTGATATATCAATTCTCCTCTCTGTTTGCTCTGTTGTCGGTGTTTCTTTGTCACAAGCACCGTACTCTACACGCTGTGTTATATCAGTTGTTGGTATTGGATCATTTTAATGAGTACGACACGAGTGCAGTATCGGACCCTACTGCATCCTTACTGACAAGTGACAAGTTACTCTTACTGTATCCATATGATTATACATGAATTTCCCTGGAAAAACTCCACCACAAGCCAGATGGAAAAAAAATGCGTAGAGGAATTGCATAAGGCAATAACAATATACTACACAAATATTCAGACTGGTTGGCCAACATATTTTAAGCATGTTGTCATGCTGGGACAAGAAGCGGCAAAGTACTGAAAACGTGGGTCAGAAAATATTTTAGCATTTTTATTTGATCACACTTTGAACCCATTAGAGATTATTTTTGGAGTCTTTGTCTTTCCATAAATACATCTGTATATGTGTGGTTTTGCATCTATTTGCCTCGCCATAAATTGCCCTGTGCAAGATTTGCAACTTTGCACCATTGCCTGATTTGCATAACTCCATTAGTGAATCAGGCATTAAAACAACACAGGCTGTGCAGTGCAAATAAACAAAGCAATTCATTCTTAGTGAACCCCGCCTCTATCTCTCAGCGCCTGCTCCGTGTTGGGCTCCTTGTTTTATCAGTTCTGGGAAAAACCCATTCCGTCGCAGCAGACAGAAGAGATTACGCCATTCTTTCACATTCAGAGAAAGACATTTTCTCTATTTGTAATAGACACCAGCTGCTTGTGTGTTGTGTGTCTTCACAGTACATGTACTGGTCCATGAAACAGCAGCTGGCACACCACACAGTCAACGGCTGCAACGTCAGAGCGGGCGACCTGCTGGCATCTGGCACCATCAGTGGACCGGTACGCGTGTGTGTGCAAGCATGTCATTGATATAGAGTATATTAAAGAAATAGTTCACTCGAAAAAGAAAAGTCTGCTGTCTCATGATGGGCCTAAAGAGACAAATTTGTTATGTTATGACCTTAAATTTTTTTTTTTTATTAATTAATTCAAGTAGACACACTTGAAACCACATTTATTTTATTTTTATTTATATATTATAAACTAACATTTATATATTTTTATTTTAATCTGTTAAATTAGTCGATTGTATAACAATTACCTTAAATTATTAAATGTAACTATAATTATTATTAATAATTTTAAACCATTTATTAATTTCAATAACTGCACTGGAAGCCACATTCATATTTAGTTTTATTTAAATCTGTTATATTAGTAAATTGTATAATAATTTATTTGAATTATTACATTTTACTATAATTATTAATAATAATTTAAAACTTGTTAATTTAAGTAACTACACTGGGGGCAACAGTTATATTTTCTTTATTTTAATCTGTTATATTCAGTAAATAATATAATAATTAACTATAATCATTAAATGTAATTTATATTTATTAAAAATAAATCTCTTCAATCTGTTAAATTCAGTGAATAATATAATAATTAACTAACTAATTATACATTTTTCTATAATTAATAATTATATAATACAACTAATTTAAGTAAATAAACTGTAAGACACATTTATATTTTCAAATCTTTTAAATTCAGTAAATAATATAACAACTTATATAACTTTTAATGATTCATTTTAACTATAATTGTTTATAATAATAATATGTCAAGCTTGTTTGTTTTCTGAAAACAAACAAAAAACTAAGTAGCATATTTCTGCACAGATCAGTATTATACAGTACTGACAGTGTGTTTGTGTGCACAAAGGATCCAGAGAGTTTTGGCTCTATGCTGGAGCTCTCATGGAGGGGATCCAAGACTATTGACCTCGGCATTGGAGAGACAAGGACCTTTTTGAAGGATGGAGACGAGGTCACTCTCTCAGGTGGGCTTTTAGAGTTGGTGTGCGTGTGCATGTTTGAGGGTTTCTGTCACATCGCTTTTTACCTGTTGTTGAGTTGGAGAGCTATAAGTTGATAGAAATGTGATCCCTATTGCTCTTTGCTAAAGGAAATGAACTCTCTCTCTCTGTGCAGGTTATTGTGAGGGCAGTGGCTATAGAGTGGGATTCGGTCTGTGTGAGGGGAAGATCCTTCCTGCGCTGCAACAGTGATCCCTCTCTTGCTCTCCCTCCCTACTGTAAGCCAGACAAAACACATGGCATCTACAGTATTATTCATCCTCTAGTATTCATAACCTGTTTAAAACCTATTTAAAGGTCTTTAGGACTTTTAAAAATTACGTAAAACTCTTTTTACACCTGTAATCTGGAGAATTTCTGGGTGAAACAGGATTCATTAAGAAAAAATGCAGGACGGGACTTGATTTTGACCATCGGAACTGGTTGGATTGTGAAAAGTGGGTGTTAAATATCACAATGAAGTGATTTTTGTGATCTTGAGAAAATGATTGAAAAGCAGTCTTCATGGGCTTTAAAGCAATTCAGCTAGTTACTGCAGAAATGGCACACATGAAAGGGTTTGTTATTCTGTGTTATTGAAAAATAATTCAATAAAGTTACTGATTCCTTTTAAAATGTCTTAAGTCATGCTTTTATTTTGTAACATAATGTCCATAAAACATATGCATGTTGCTGAGCGAATGACTCAATACAATAAAATCAATACACCACACAAATACTGGGTAAAATACAACAAAAATGTATACTAATAATTTCATTTTTTACTTTCTTTGTATTGATTGATTGAATATATTGTATATAATCTATTATAACAAAATGTTATTGTTGTTGCGAACTCCATGACACATTAAATGCAACCTTAAAGTCTAGGATTCAACCAGCATTGTTCTTGTTGGAGTTACAGGGCCTGGCTGTCAGAGACTCTCAAACAGGTACAGTGAAAAATGCTCCCAAATGGAGAGATTGACTGACAGGTCACTGCTTGAGCCCTTTGTCTTTGATTGTGGACAGAGCTGGCAGCTGCGTGCTTTCAAGCTGGGTGGAGGGCTCTTACCTTCCCGGCAGGCTACATAGGAGCATCTACCCAGCGGCTCCTGAAGTCTTTGGGTACCACCGGCCGTGAACAAAAGAGGGCACTCAGAGATCTGGCAGAGGAGGCAGAAAGAGGGAGTTTCTGGTAAACAGGGATCCTAGGACCGGCTGCTGGGGGCCGCTCCACCACCTCGAGATGTTCCGGGATTGAAGGAGCAAAACATCAGTGAAGGGTGGCTCCCGGCTGATGACCCCGCAGCTGGTCCAACGGCACCGGCGGAGGTGCGTCAGGCAGCGATGCCCAGCAGGTAGGGATACCTGTGCTGACGATATCTAAATACCATTTACTGCCATGTTTTTTCCTCCTGGACATACCTGTACCATCTTACTTTATTTTCTCGGTAACGCTTCCTTTTACAGTACAGTACTTACGTGTACTTACAGTGTACTTACCTATAAAGTACTGGCTAATATAAGGTAAGTACACGGGTTAGGGGTAGGTTCAGGGTTACTACCTAATTATTACTAATTACTATTACTATTATTATTACTAATAAGTACATAGTAAGTACATGGGTAACAGGACTGTAAAAGGAAGCGTTACAATTTTCTCTTATATTTTTCACATATGCACTATGTTGTTACCATGTCTTTTGGACTTCTTATTTTTTATTTATTTACCATTTTACAACACAGTTCTTTCTGGAAATGTGCCTGCACCATGGTTTTACTTTTTTTCACACACATGACTATGGTGCTACAATGTTTTTGTTTGTACATGTACCATGACAGTACCATGTTTTTATTTATTTGACACATTTACCATTTTATTCTTCATTTTTCTGGACATGTACTTGCACCATGGTACTACTTTATTGGCACATGTACCATAGTACAAACATGTATTTCGGATGTGCACCATGGCAATACAGTTTTGGTGTTTTTTTCTTTGTTTCTTTGTTTGACAAGCTATTCACTGAATTATCTTTGATATGTTAAGTATTTATGGTATAGTATCTGATGCCATGGTATCACCACAGTAAGGGCAGGTGGCAGCGCCGCTCTGAACCACATTTAAACTGACAACTCAAACTGAAAAATAAAACATACGATTGTTGTTACAGACCCTTTCATTACGACTTCCTCTGCAATGAATCATTTCTGTTGTGTTCTCATGTCCTGCTAACAGATGGTGCTGAGCGTTTGGAGCCGTGCTGCTGGAGATCACGAGGGCCCGCCTGTGAGTCACTGAGACATCAGAGGTCAGATGGTCTGTGATTCTGTGCTGGCATAGGATATACGCTTCACTCTTACTGTGTGTCTCTCCCCCTCTGTGATCAAACTTTAATCGATGTGTCTTGTCGGCCTCACAGATGCACTTTAGTGCTTTGACCTTTCACTTACTGAAGGAGAGGCAGGTGATAAATCTCTGAAAACAGTGTGTGTCCTGTATACTACCAATAAGACTGGTACTGTGAGATGGTGTTTTTATTACTCAACAGGTGAGTAAGGTGTTTTATTGAACAGATAAATTGCTATATGTAGCTCTCTAACAGAATTCATTGTAAAGCATTATCTGTTGTGATTATGGTTGTTGTTGCGCTGTGCTGGAATTTATTTTTGAAGGAAGTACCATGGGTGTTTCTCAAAACCAAGAATGCAAAGAACGGACTTGTGTTCTTGGGGAGAACGCTCTTGCTAGTTGTTCTTGGAAGAATGAACTCACAAGGTGACGAGCACACAGAACGCTGCTGACAGTTTGAGACGATGTGTTCTTGCTGGTATTGCGCAATAATTCCCCCGCACAGACACCGTCTGCAGTACCCAAACATAACGAGAATTGTTGACGATAACAGCCAGGCTGCAATGGTCTCTTGACTGTGGGGAAAAACGAGTCTGTGAGCAAACTGGCCGGTTGGCTCGATAGCTAACGTTACACCCGCAGGCGCTTATGGAGATTCTCACTTCCGAAAACGTTTGAGCACATTTTCGATTAGCCATACATTTTCGTAAAATGCCAATATTTGAAATCTACACAGTTGATTTCTCGCATCAAATGTTCTCAGAAGTGAATTTAGTGATGAAATAGTGTACGTAATTGTAGAAAAACGAAATACTGTATTGACCTGCCTCTCCTTCCTCGAATGCCGAATTGAATGCTGGGATATTTCTGCCGTCAAGTTCACACAAGTTACCAACCGATGCATCCTCGGTAAAATGGGCGTGTCAAGAACACATCCGGGATTTTTAACTGTTCTTGCCAAAATGCAAACTTGTGTATTGGGACAGTACTTGGGCCACAAAAGATGACGTTTCACAAGAACACAAGGACACAAGTACAGACAAGAACACAGATTGAGAAAGGCCCCATGTGTATTAATGGGTATATCTACATTAACGTCTTCAGCTTGTCAGTTTGAGATCCTTTCCATCTAAACTGGTTATATCTCTTAAGCCTATAGTGCATGTTTTATGATCAGTAGGATAACCTCTCTCGCTCAAAAAATGCAGTTATGTTTTTTTAACCACTAGAGGACCAAAAGTTATATAGTGCACCTTTAAACTAAAAAAAACAACAACTATGCCTTGGGCAACTACCTGAATTGGTTACTGAAATATTGTATATTGCATTATACAAGATATTGGTTTAAGTTGAAGTACTAAAAATAAAATAAATATTAAATCTAAATAGAAATATAAAAAACAAAAACATCAAAAGCACATACAAAATTACTCAAACTTAAATTAAAATGAACACTGGAAATGGTCTGGTATGGTTTAATACTATTTTGCGGTATTATACACAGCCTTCAAAGAAAGTGTTACCAAAACTTGTAATACTTTCATAGGGGGGTTGATTATTAAGCTCTGTGTGTGCGTGCATGCGCGCACGTGTGTGTGTGTGTGAAATGCTTTGAAATGCCACCAATCAATTGGGCACCCTGCATCAGAGTGTTATAAATGAAATCCACGAGAGGCGTACTTAATCAATGCAGAAGTACATTATAAATGCAAATGTACAAAACATGAATCATTTTCATTTCACACTGCATTTCAAAATATAATAACATCAGATTCCAAACACACACGTAAGTTTAAAGATATACAAAAGGGCTATAACAGGTGCTAACAGCATATAGCTACACAGATACTTTTGAGACTTTTTCCATTAAAATTTTAAGAAATTACCTTTATTATTATTATTATCATCATCATCATTATTATTATTATTTAAATTATTATTATATTCCAAATGATGTTCTGTTGAACATTCTATTCATCAGAGAATCAAGCAGCAAATCTGCATATTAGAATTATTTATGACGAGTCACGTGACACTGAAGACTGGAATAATGATCCATCTTTGACAACACAGGAATAAATGACATATTAACAAATATTCACATAAATGGTTATTTAAAAATATTCACAATATTACTGTTTTTACTACATCGGCCACAACAGCAGCACATGATTACTGTTAGCATAATTCAGTTAGCTCTGCTGAGAGCTTTTACCCAGCTGCCCCTCATGAATCATGTCCCCATAGTTACTGTGCCTCTAAAGTTAATAGAAGTATTGATTTGTGTGTGTTCTGTGGCAAGTGGAGCAGTGCTGTTGTAGTGTGTGTGTGTGTGTGTGTGTGTGTGTGTGTGTGTGTGTGTGTGTGTGTGTGTGTGTGTGTGTGTGTGTGTGTGTGTGTGTGTGTGTGTGTGTGTGTGTGTGTGTGTGTGTGTGTGTGTGTGTGTGTGAAAGTTCAGTTAGTAGCGCACAGCTAATCTCAAAGCTTTCAAACAATTGCCTGAACACTGATGTAAACACATTTACACTGATTGGAAATCAAATAATTCAAGTATTTATAGAATATATACTGCACACTGTGCATGTTTTGGTAAGATGATCATTCCTATGCAGTATAGCCTACATTTTGATGTTCTTATCATATATTTAATTTAACTTTTTAAAGATGTGTTCTTTTATCACTGTCCTTTCTTCAAGCAACATGATTTCTTAGGAATTATGTTTTAATGGAAAATCAATTTACCATTATGTAAGTCCCTTTTTATGAATGTATTGGTTGGTTGGTTAAATAGTTAGTTTTAAATATTTTCAAATACCAGGGGTTCATAGGATAAACAGAAAAAAAAATCTAAATATAGAAATAAAAACAAAAAGTTAAATACACTCAAACTTAATATTGTTTTAGGTATTGTTGAACTTGAAATCTTTCAAAAATTTCTTCAAAATATTCCCCCATATTTACATTTATGTATACTAAATTATAGTATCCTCCAGAAAATTACATCAATTTGGAGGGAAACAGATTATATTATATTATAATTATTAACAATGGATTTGATTAATTCTGTGATGTGTTTTGTAGTTATATTGTGTAACTTTGAAATATTCAATCTGTTCTATAAAATTATAAAAACATGTATGAAAATATGGTTATAAAAAAACAAAAATGGAAAACACAACTGGAGCCGCCTCTCTGAAATTCACTTTTTTTTTTTACTATTTAACTTTTTTAAATACATCCTCATGGTCTTATTATGCAGAATCCATCAGTGCGTGTTAAAAAAACTGCATTTGATGTTGACAATTTTTGGCTATGAAAACCAGGTCTGATGCATTCGACACATTGCCTATGTTGAAGTACAGTGTACAAGACCTCAAAACAACAATGATCTTCTCATTTGATTACTAAATGCTCCATGCTCCATTTAGTTTGGAAGTTGGACATTATTGTGAAAAAAAAGGTGACCAAACATTACTGGGCTATTGATCAATATTTCCATTAGGCGAATATACTCTTAACGAAATAATTATATTGAACTTAATTGAACCCTTGAAAGTGCTGCTTGATCATTTTTTAAATGTACTTTGCATCATGAACCAGCTGTTCTAGGGCAGTAATAATGTCTTGTTGTTGTATTTCAAATCTGGACTCCAGTTTAAAACACCAGTTTGTTTTTGGACTGCACAAACTCTGTCATGAATGTAACACTTTGAGATTTGTTCTCAAATGAAAAGTGCATTATAAATTAAAATGTTTATTATTATTATTATTATGAATGACCCCCCCACCCCACCCAAAAAAAAAAAGAAAAACCTAAAATGCAATGCAAACGTTGATAAGAGTTAAGTAACATGTTGGCCACTCTGGCAGGAAATGTATTTGTAGCATTTAAATGAATTGAACCGCAAACAAAAAGCTGAGGTATTCTTAGCTTGATCGATCGCCCATATGGCTAAATATACGTTGAGAGAAAAGAAACTTGTGGTTCTTATGATGGACAACAAATGCTCTCACTGTCACTGTGCTGAATCATCGGGTCATTTTGTAGGCTACGAGATAAGGAGTTATGCGAGGGAAAAACATAAATCAGTTTTTAATGAAAGAGATCATAACACACAGCAGGCGGACAGAATTGATGTCACGCTCCTCAATGCTGCTGTATGTGTATTTACAGCATATACAATTTGTTATAAACTCTACATGAGAAAAGTTAAAAATCAACAACCAAAGCACTTCTGGTTGTCTAGATAAAACCTTCTTCACAGATAAATGTCTCGAGGCGCTCTGTAGACGTCAGAACTTAGCTTCGTTGTGTCAGTGAGGCTTCCATCAGTGGATGACATATAGTCAAACCGATCAGTTTTGAATGGATTTTTTCAATAACTCTGCTTCGTATTTAGTTCACCCAAAAATGAAGATTCTGTCATAATTTACTCACCCTTAAGTTGTTCTAAACCTGTATGAATTTCTTCTGCTGAACACAAAAGAAGATATTTTGAAGAATGTTAGTATAACCAAACAGTTGTGGGGCACTATTGACTTCTATTTTGTTTCCAAACTATGGAAATAAACAGTGCCCCACAACAGAAGTAATCATACAGGTTTGGAATAACTTGAGGCTGCGAAAATGATGACAGAATTTTCATTTTTGGGTGAACTTTCCCTTTAATGCAACACTGTATGCATATTTGACAGAAAAATGTATCGGTTCAGTGAGTAAATGAATTGTTCATTCTGCTTATCGAGTCGTGTATGTTTGGTTCAAGTAACATTTTCAGTTTTAGGAGTTGTGAGTTAATTGTTCATTCGAGAACCACTCGTCTTGCACTGATTCATCATGAGTGACTGAAATGTTACCCCGAGAGTTACGGATTCAGAACCAGTTCAGTTCATTCATTTAAATGAAATGGCGTATGAATGACACGCCAATTCGTATTTCCATTTTTGGCGTGCTATCAACACGCATAATCGCTTTTCAGCGTGTTTGACTTAACGTTACATTACTGTATTATATATAAATATATGACCTACCCCAACCCCGTCCCTAAACCTACCCGTCACTGGGGTTAATACAATTTATGAGTCTTCTCCTACCATCCTAGGAAAAAAAATATCGCTCCACAGATAGATTTTGCTTCGTTTCGCTCGGACATTTAACGGCGTACACATACACGCGGAATCACTCGGACATTTAATGGCGTAGACATACACGCAAAAGATGACGGTTCGTTTCGGCGTGGACATACACGCGGATAGCTCAAAATGCGTATAGATAACACGCCACTTGACTTGTAAGTGGCGTATATGTTTACGCAAAGTCATGATGTCATGTTTAAAAGATATAGGTGCACTGTTGGTAAACATTGGAGCGAGCGCGGTATGAAGGAAGATAACATGTTAGAAAGGTAAAAGTTCTCAGACTAACTATGGCATCGACTGACATCATATCATGTGAGTAATCTATTCATATTTATTCAATAGGCCTATATTCATTGAGACTATAGACTATAGATCTGGCTATATGAGACTATTTTGAATTCATCACTTTTCTTTGTATGACACATTGACATTACTGTACAGAATGGCTCTTTCGGTATTATTCTGAATGTTGTATAGGCTAAGCATTCATTTCATCATTGAAGGTTCTCGGATCGAGCGCACGTTAATGTCACATCCTTTGGATTGTCCCGGTAAAAACGTCACAAGTCCTTCACATAAAAATCCGTTTACAGACTTTCATAGACAACCTAGGAAGTTGAGGAAGGTCTCGTTTAAGTTTTGTTACAAGCTGTTCACACATTGGCAATACAAAAAAAGCGATGAATAAGCTATATCAATATTCTTGCATGTAGCCCCTTTTAAGATTTCCAGTGAGAAGATTTGCAGTGTGGTTGGTGATGATTTACCACAATATTGGAATCAATATAATCTTTATTGTGGTTCAGAACAGACATGTAGCACAATTGCATTTTCTCATCAGACAGGACACATTGGCATTTTTTCTTTGTGCCCGTGAATGAAAGATACATTCATTACTTCATTTTTATGACTTCAGCTGAGGCACTTGACATCATGCAGTGCAGACTATAGCTCTCTGCAAATGCGTACACTTAATCAAAGACAACAAAATCAAATCACATCAGGGAATCAGACTGTGATTGAAAGAGACAGATGCTCTTGTAAAAACAACATCAAGATGAATGAAACAGTTTGTGGTGTTTTTCATCTTAAGTATTTTGCCCCAAGGCATTCAGTCAAGGTTTTGTCGTCTTGCAAAATATAATCACAATTAAGATCAAAAACAATGTAAATGTGAACGCTTCATCAATGAATTGCAAGTATGCAGTTCCATTGTACAAACTGTACTTGTAGGGGTGATTACAAAGTAGGCTACTCAAGGGGGCGATAGTTAACTGCAAATGTGAATGTCTAATAAACATGTTTACTGTTTACTAACTTTGCTCCACCATAAGTAAGAGAAGATTGACAGTAGAAGAAAGTTCATGTCTGCTATTGCACCCCTTGTGGCAATGCTAAGAATGCAGCTTTGTTTGCATACAAAATTTAGCTTGCTTAGCTAGAAGTGTATTCAGGTGTGTATATCATTATGTAATATAAAAGTATAAATTTGCTCCCATGTTTCTTATTATAAATTCAGGGTGCATTGGTTGTGAGAACAGAGCATCAGGTTAGTGTGGTTTAGAAGTGTCTGATTTTGGTTTGTTTGGTCTGGTTCTCTGGCCTTGTGCGCTTTCGGTTTTGGAGTGGTTTCATTGGGTGTCATTTCAGGATTCATGATTTCTTTGATAGAGTTAACTGCAAAGAATTAAATTCAGTTTCCATAAAGATGTCTTCAGCTTAGTAAACTTTGTGGTCCTTAAAGCAGTTGATGACTAGCAGCTTAAATATCTCTAGTCATCTTGTACTGGTTGAAACATGGTGTTGGTGCAGACTCGGATCTGTTAATCGTCCAAGTGCTGCTCCTCCCAGGTGGACGTGGGAATGGCGCTGTAGGGGTCCATGATGACTTTGGCACAGCGGATGATCATTGCCACCAGCAGTAGACAGAGGAAGGCTATGCATGCCAGGGTCAGACCCTGGTCCACATCCACAAAAGCAGGGTCTGGTGTTGTCTCCTCCATCGCTTCGGTCTGTCCTCATCAGTCCAGGCCTCTGCTACCATCCTGATCACTTATCTGAGGGTGGGAAGATTGAGAGACAAGTAAATCTCTGCCTGGATTTTAGGTTCAGTACATTTTAGGTTAGCTTAAAGTCCATCAACAGCATCTGTGGCCTGTTGTCGAATTACCACAGATAATATTGTAGTAAAATCTGTATTTGAGCTGTAAAGGTGCCATTCGCTCAGGATGTGTTCGTTTTTACATTCGGTCTGAGCTATTTATCAATTGTTTGACTTTTGAAAGACTTTTCAGTGACTCTATGTGGAGTGAGAGAGGAGTAATTTGTGAAGAAACCAACAACCATATTTAGCTCTTATGTGTACATGGTTTTGAACTACAAACTTGTGAGTAATAGCTCTAACCCTTGCCAAACTGATTTTAAATGGCCACAATTATCAGCCGATGCTGATAACTTTAAAATGGCCAGATACCAGAGGATAAGTTTGCCTTTTTGGCACATTAACAGTAATTCCTCCCCCCCCCCCCCCCCCCAATAAACACATTTACAGTGTTATTAAGAGGCACAACCGTTGATAATAATCAACATCGATAATAATAAGAAATGTTTCTTGAGCAGCAAATCATCATATTAGAATGATTTCTAAGGGTCATGTGACACTGAAGACTGAAGTAATGATCCTGAACATTTAACTAATAAATTACTTTATAAAATATTTATTAAAATAGAGAACCGTTATTTTAAATTGTAATACTATTTCATATTACTGTTTACTGTATGTTTGATGTGTGTGTAATAAAGTCCACTAAAGACGAGCTTGACGAACCCAAAAGCAGTATTTAACAAATGTGTACAAAATAAACAAACTTGACTAAGCATAGCATGACTTGACATGACATGACATGACATGACACGACACGACACGACACGAACCAAACAGTGGTTACACAAAAAAAGCTAGACAAAGACAATGGGAACATGAGGGCTAATTTTCCACATGGACTAATCACTAAACAAGGAACACCTGAACACAATGAACCAATACCAGGAAACAGAACTGAAGAACCGCATGACTAAACCAACCAATGAAAACAACACAACACATGAACTAAGGGAAGCAAATGACAGAACAAGTAATCACATGACAAACAGGAACCATATCTATAGGCTTGTTCGACTTGAACCGGCGCTGCACAGACCGATCGGTTTATGACATCAAAGTACCGCGAGAGCGATTGTAAAGCATACAGAGCTGTCTGCTCTCTAATCGCTCTCGCTGTATTTTGATGTCATTCACTGATCGGTCTGTGCAGCGCCGGTTCAAGTCAAATAGCCTTATGACAAAATTTCAAAATTGAAGACATGCAAGCAAGAATGAACAAAACCTAAAGTGGAGCAGAGGTTATTTATTTTATTTAACAGACACGTGTACAAAATAAACAAAGACTTGACTAAGCATAACTTGACTTGACATGACATAACATAACACTCACCAGTGATACACGAACAAAGCTAGACAAAGGCAATGGGAACATGAGGGCTAATTATACACATGTATATGGATAGTGTATACATATATATATATATATATATATGTAGAGAGAGAGAGAGAGAGAGATTGTGTGAGAGAGAGACCTTAATCACACCTTTATTTATAATTACACTGTATAGACATTCCTCATAAACATCTATTTTCTCAAACGTAGCAAATTGTTGAATAAAATTTACAGTCCTCATTTAAACAACTTTTTTTTATAAGTTACAAAAACTCATAAATTTAATACCAGCTTATTTTCATAATCCACTGTGCACCAAACATCATTCAAAGCCCAAATTTCAATAAATCTGTCCATATTATTAATTACTTTAAAATATGCAAACTCTGCCTTGATTCTAGTTGCTATAAGAGCCACCTCAGGACCTACTTCCCCCTCTCCTTTCAATTTCCTTTTCCGTGTTAACCATATTGCCATCTTTGCTCCTCCAACCACAAAAATTAATTAACAAGATTTTTTTCCTGTCTGATGCAACATATTTTGGTCCGAAAATGAAAAGACTACCCCCAAATCTCTAACCCACCCATCTAAGATCTGAAACAATCCTCTTAACCTTAAACAATTTTAAAACAAATGATCTATTGACTCTTCAGTGCCACGAAAAAAAGGATATTCTTTCTCTACAGTGGGGTCAATGTGTGTCGCATGTCTGTTTGTAGCTACCACCCAGTGAAGAACCCTCCATTGGAGATCCGCAGTGCGTTTCTCTATAGGAGGTTTGTACAGGGACCCCCAGCAGCCCCAAGGGGATAAGTCTGGCCCGAACAAATCTGACCAATTTGTCTCTTTGCAATCTTTGAGTACGTTGTAGTGAGACAACTTTCACACAAATATTATATAGTGCCTTTTTTGAGACAGTCTCAAAACAGCACAGGAGTCCTGAAATTTAGAAGAGAACCTTCCTCTGGCTCTTCATCCACCGCTGCTGAAATTTCCACTTGGGGAAAATGACTCCCTCTGTTCTGTTCAGGAACTTCATTTTCCTCTGAGCTTTGTCTGAAGACAGAAGGTAATGCTGAAACAATTCCGTCCATTATTCTCTTTATAATCAGTGTAGACTTGATGCCTGTCTTGTTGCACATTTCCTCTGGACTTTTCCAGTTTTCACAAGTCTTTAGGTCAGCAATTCTTGTACACCCCGCTCTTGCCATTACATTCTGAATGCTCCTGGGCTCCAGTGCCTGTGCTGGTATCAGTGGGTTATTGAAGAGAGGTTAATTCTCTGTTCAAAGTCCAATATTTGAGAGAACCCTCTTAACCTTAAAAACTGAAGTCCATGCTCTCAAAACAGCTTTGTAGATTGGGGAAACATCCCTCAAGTCCATGTTAGGCAATTTGATCAAAAACAATTGCACATCATACTTGAAAACATTAATCTTCCTCAACACAGCATGCACTGTATCAGCCCAGCACAGTTCTGCATACAGTAATCTTTGTGCTGCTTGAAGTCGGAATGTCTTTATTCTGTGTTTAATGTCCTTCAGGTCTTGTCCTCCCTCTTGAATAGGTAGGAAAAGTACAGCAGATTTTTTCCCATGCTGCCCATCCCAGAAAAAGTCAATTAACTTTCTTTATAGCTCTTCAACCACACTTTCTGGGGGATCCAGAACATAAATTTTATGCCATAATGCAGATGCAGCCAGATTACTCGTGACCAATACCCTGCCCCTATACGATAGCTGGGGCAGCACCCATGACCATCGTGACAATCGGTCACACTTTCTTTCCACCATACCCTCCCAGTTCTTCTGCCTAAAAACACTCCCAACATCTTCATTCCCTGCCAATCTCCTATAAATATCCTTCACTCTTTTCCCAATTTACTTTAGCTGACGAAGCCTTTTTGTAAATGTTTAAAGCATTTGTTAAATTCATAACATCTGTATCACTTCTTATAAAAACAGTTATATCATCAGCATAAGCCGAAAGAGGGATTGGCCTGTTTTCACAACCTTTAACTAGAACCCCTTGCAATTTCTCCCTAAGTTTGTATAGTAAAGGCTCAATTGCTAAAGAGTACAAATGTCCTGATAAAGGACAGCCTTGTCTTATATCTCTATGAACTAACACTGGATAACTTAGCCAACCTCCAACCTTTAACAATGCAGAAACTCCAGTGTATAACAGTTTGATCCAAGAGATAAAATTCTCACCAAACCAAAAGCTTTAAGAGTTTCAAATAAATAAAGATAATCAACTTTATCAAAAGCTTTCTCTTGGTCAATTGACAGAAAACCCACATCCTCATTACCAGCATTTTCATTTCATTATATCCTTCAAATTCATTATATCACGCACAAGAAAAAGATTGTCCATTATTGTTCTTTTTGTCACGCAATACCGTTTGAAAATCATTAATAACATACTCTAAAAAATGTTTTAATCTATTTGAAAGACACTTAGCAAGAATTTTGCAATCAGTGCACAGTAAAGCTACTGGTCTCCAGTTCTTTAACAGTCAAAGGTCACCTTTTTTTTTTGGTAATAAAGATAGAACCGCTCTTCTACAACTGGTCGGCAGTTCATTTTTCCTATGAGAAAATCGAAAAACATCAAGTATATCATCTTTTAAAAGAGTCCAGAATTGCTTATAGAATTCAGAAGGTCCATCAATGCCAGGGGACCGACCATTGGAGAATTTCCTTACCGCCTCTGATATTTCGTCCAATTGAATATCGGCCATTGTCTCTGATCATCGGTGAGCTTTGGCGAATCTCTTAGTTAGTAGGTCATCCATGCAATTAATGTCAGTCTCTTACTTTGAATAAATCAGTATAGAAGTTCTTTGCATGGTTTCTCATTTCTTTTGGATTAGTTGTTAAAGTCCCATAAGGTAGTTTTCTTTCCGCTCCAAGTTGAAAATATGAGCTCGAAGCATCGAAGCAAAAAACGGGGGTATTATTAAAGCCCCTTTTGCTCTTTCATTGGACAGAGACTCCAAAACTTTTTTTTTGTCTTTTTTTCTCTTAATTGTTCCACTTCTTCTGAACTTTCTTCAATAATTCCTTCTTCAATTTCAGTTATTTCTCTCTCAAGTATTTTAATGGTGTTCTTTACCAGTCTATTTGAGTGGGCTGTATAGTTCTGGCAAAAAAAAATCTTACTTGTGCTTTTCCAACCTCCCACCATTGCACTAAATCTTCGTAGTCACTTTTTTGTTCTTGCCACTTTGACCAAAATAACCCAAACTTTTCACAAAATATAGAGTCATGTAATAGATTCAAATTAAAATGCCAATAATAACTAGAACGCTGTGACTTTTTTAAACTCATTTCAATCATGCACTGATGATCAATAAAACCATTTTTGAAAAATATTAGCTTTTAAAACTCTATTAGAATTATTTTTACTTACATAAAACCTATCCAACCTAGCAGCACTAATATGATCATGAGCTGCTTTAACCCATGTATATTGTTTCACTGTTGGGTGTTTCTCCCTCCATACATCAGATAGCCTAAGTCATATTTCCTTATACGGTTCTTCACCATTTCGGTCTA